TGGGTCAAAGCGCAGCCGTCTCGTCTCCTCACCCATGTGGGGGTTTACCGAAAGAGCGGTTATATAGGGTTATATAGGGTTATGTAATATAAGGTATTCTAGGGTCATATAGGGGTATCTAGGGTTGAGAAGTTCCCAAAACCAAGGGCACCATATGGCACCTTTTGGGAGTCCCTATAATAAGGACTATAGTATTTGGGGGTCTATGCTGGGTCCCCCAATTTAGTGAAACTGCCATGTTTGCACTCGGCATTCTTGAGTAAAATCAAGCCCAAGAGTTGGCAGCGGAAGGTCCAGCGTCAGCTTGCTTCCGAAAATGTCATAGATGTAGAAGCCACTATCCTTTTCTCTTTAGGACCATGCAATACATGCCTGCTTCGGATGACAACGCGGGCTCTAACAGAATTGCTGTCTGGCATCCCAGAGCCACTTGCCGGTGTAGGCGGTGAAGACCTCAGGAGAAGAACGCAGGAAGCTGGGTCACCGAGGTACTCCAAAGCTACACTAAGCACCGCGACACAAACGGCAGCTATTCGGTATGGTCCTGCCCATCGGAGGCGCTCCTCCAGACTCACAGGGTGATTCAAGCAGGCTTCTTATCACATCCTGACAGATCTGCGCGCTTTGCACTTGAAACCCGGCCCCGGTCCATGAGCGAGCGAGGCAACTTCATGGCCAAAGCGTGGACCGATCTTTGTCTGCTGAGCAAAGGGTCCTGGCCAATGGTGGTTCAGGGTGACGTGTGCAAGAAGAGGTTCCAAGCTTTGCTAGAAGGAGCAACACTGTCGTGATAGCGGTGGGTTTTTGGCCATTTCTACTTGCTCATTGAAGAGAACTGGTGCTGCTGGCGTTTGCAGTTTTTGTCCCTCATACATGTCATCTGTATCAACTTGAGCCAGGTAGCTAGCTGGAGCGGACTGAAAAGCACGAAGCTAGGACTGCGATTGAAGGCACGTGCATGGTGGCGGGGTTTACTCACTAGTTCCGCCTTGTTCAACTCTGTCACATGCAGGCAAAGCAGTGAAGAGGCCACTGCATAGAACACTTGCTGACATCCATCCGCCTCACGGCTCTGCTGCGCAATGGCGCGCCTTGGCAAGGCAATCGAAGCAGGGCCGGCTCCAAGGTGCAGGTGGCTTTCGTGGCACGGACAGCTTTCCAAGATTTTCCAGTGGTTCGGACATGCTCACCTTTTTTGATAAGAGCTCCTCAAGCTAGCGAAGAGCTCTCCTGAGACTCCTGCTAGTTAGGTCAAGTCAGTTCGTTGGAAGCTGCGGCTGATCAAAGAGCTTCTATCTGGAACATGGTTCAACCGAATAGCTGTAGCTGCATAGCCCACTTCTCTGCTATGCCAACCGAGGGACTCGTAGGCATCCACTTTCTGCCTCTTCACTGACGCAGCAGCCTCCTGGCGCCTCGCCAACCGGTGCCAGCAAGTCAAAGGCATCGATCCATACTTGTACATGACATGCTGATCAGTGCAACTACAGACTGCCCACAAACCAGGCTACTGGCAATTGCGGCACTCACGCGACAATTTGACAAGACAGAACTCGAAACCTCATGAAGCCAAAGCCGCCTCCATTCAGATCACCAGCTTTCTTAAAGCGGTCATGGCGCAGGCATCCCCAATATAGCCCCAATACAACCCCAATATACCCCTAATATGACCCCAATATAACCCCAATATACCCCTATATACCCCCAATATAACCCCAATATAACCCCAACATACCCCCAATATAACCCCAAAATAATGCCAATATAATCCCAATGTTCATAATAAGCCAGTGCCCTGGACGCCAATAGCCTCTTCTTGGAGGCTGCAGCTGCTGATTGGCCTGCGAACAGTCCACATTACAGACACAGTTCCTCTTTCCTGCACCTTGCAACTGACATGAATGCTACTTTGGCCAGTTGGAACTTAAGATCCGCAACAAGGATCTCATGTAACGATCCCTGATCAAGATCTATTCCCAAATATACTGAGTGTACCTCATGAGGTTCCTAAGGTGTATTTGTAGTGAGGCGCACGTAGCAGATGTTACGTTGGTTCACCCTTGCAGGCAACACTGAGCCTATACCACCCTGAAAACATTGCGGCTTATTGAAATATGTAACAAATTTGCTGACAGAGTGATATCTTTGAAGTTCCTTAGTTCCAGTATTCCAGAATCCCAGAATTCTAGCCCTTGTCTTTCCCACTCGGCCTCCCAGCATTCCATGCATGATGTTCTGCGGCTGTTTCCAACTTGATTGTGGATTTTTCCCCTCTCGCCCAATTGCATCTGACGCGAATAGCATTCGTTAAATCAGGATCTGGAACAAGAAGAGGCTTGTGCTAGCGTCAGTGATCTTCCCGGCCGTTTCCCGCAGCTTTGGCGCTATCTACTGGGAAAGGGGCTCCAGGGCATGACGCATTCATGTGTTGGAGACGAAGGCCAACAAGTGCAGCATTGGCTGGCCGGCCCCCCTGCCTTACAATCCCTTCCAACCAACGCCTGCATGCTGCCCTTCGGGCCTGAACTAGATTGATTGGTTGTTGGAATTCGCCACGCCGTTTGCGGCTGGATTGTCATGTGGCAACAGCCCCCACCCTGAGGCCTCTGCCCTGTCAGCACAATGCTGTCACTACATTCGCTACTTGTACTGACCACGGTCTCACCGAAGCGTCTTCCACATGAATGTTGGGGGCCTCGTGAAGCCGCCTCGATCATGGCTTTCGCCAGTGGATGTTCTGCAGGCAAAGGGGCCTGCACCGAGCCGTTAGTGTCAGTAAGTAGTTCTGGGGAGGAGTGTAGGAATCATAGCAGAATCTATCCCTGACTACAAATTCTTGTCGTGAACAGGAAGAAAGATCCGCCGATCCCGGCCTGACGGGGCGAGCGCACAGTGAAGCCTTTCTTTCTCCGTGTTCCTCTGCCTCACTCGGCCTCTTTCAGGCCCCTCCCACAGCCTTCCCCTACCTCCACTATCACTGCTTCTACCACCAGCCACACACGGATAACAATTAAGCATCCCCTGTCCGTGGGCCCCGCACCCAAACCTCCCTGTTAGAGAAAAATTTAGAAGGTTGATCCTGCGCTCCCTCAGCCTCCCGCTTAGCATCCCCCCACCCCTCCCTCCCATTAGCACAGACTGCATGCACGTCCCTCCTCCAAACCCTCCCAATGCATGGCCCCGAACACTCCAGAAAAATCAGGTCCCTCATAGCCCACCCCAACCTCTACTATCCCCCAGCCCCAGCCTTTTATTTGCATTCCCGACGTGCGATAGGTGCGGTGAGGGCCCCAACACCACTCCAATTCATTGCTGTGTCCAGCCATGTGTGTTTTGAGAGGTTGCCCCCTCATTCTCAGGAAAAATGTTGTTTTACTGACCCCCCGCCCCCATCCGTGGGCCCCCCATTCAACCCCAATTAACACAATGGGCGGTTTGCCTTTAATTTCCCCCCTCCCAACCCTCCCTCCTCCAGGCCCCCACCCTTAACCCACTCTGGGGGTGGGTATAGCCCCGTTAAACGGTTTTTGGTTATAGTATCCTTCCAAGAGAACTCATACCAGCAGGGCTTAGGGTTCAGGGCTGAACTCCTTGTCCCAGGAACATAACGTTGATGGACCAACCCCGCTTTGCCCTTCGTCTGCTGCCTCCACCCAAGAAGAGTCTATAATAAGGCAATATTCAAAGCTTTATAAGTTCATATTATGCTTGTTGTCCTGCTGTTGATGGGTGAGGGGCAGTATCCAAATTAAGGTGCCATGATTCCTGAAGATTCTTTTAACCTACTTAATCTACAATATAAGTGCCTGGCTACATGTCGCATGTCAGCAATCGCGCCCAAAATAGGTAATTATCATCCATACCTGGTACGGTCGACGGGGTCATACACTGATAATCGATACATTAGTTAGGGGCCTCCCCTCCCCTGCAATGACAGGAGAATCAAGCTGGCTGACAGCAACTGTCACCTGAAGACCGAAGACCTGCAGAAGTCGTCGCGTCAGCCCTCGCCTCTCGTGTGCAATGGAGGCTCAGGCTCTGTGGTCGTCTAGCCCTCGCCCAGAGGCTCAGGCTTTGTCGCTTTGTCGTCCTGTGGCCCTCGCCGGAAGGCTCAGGCCTTGTCGTCAGTCGCCAGAGTCGTCAGCCAGTATTCGTTGCCGGCCCGGTGTTTTTTGAGAGGTTGCCTCTACACCTCCCTCCCAACCAGCCCTAGTATCCCCCTCCAAGCACCCCACCAAACGTGTTGAGAGGTTCACATACACCAGGACACCTACACCGCGGACATACACCACATCAACTACACCGCGCCAGTACCTCACAGCGCGTACACCGCCCACATACAGCACAGCACCTACACCACGCCATGTACACTACAGCACCTTCACCGCCGACATACACCACAGCACCTACACCACACCACGTACACCAGAGAACCTACACCGCCTCTACTTTATTCATAGCACCAAACCACGAGCGCAGCAACTAGAACACGGCCAGACGTGCGTCCCTTGGCAACATCGAACTGATTCCTTTCGAAAACAATTCGGGTCTAGTTCAGGGCTTTGCGGACATTACCGGCACGAGAGGTTGGAGGTTGCCCTAGGCCTGCCTTCCAGCCTCCCTAGCGTCCTCCAGGCCCCCCCCATCCGTGGGCCCATTCACGCCCCCCCCACTCCCTACTGCCGGGGTTGGCGGCAGCGGCTCCGGCCCTTAAATTGATAAGGAGCTCACTGCTCCCCTGCACTTCAGAGACAGCGGCTTGCAACACCAAAGAACACTTAGTTGCCGCATGTTTCGGGGGTGGATCCAGTCCCGACAAGAAGCCACCCACCCTGCACGCCTACACCCAGTCCCCGGTTTACACACATGACGTGAACTCTGGCTTTCTGAAAGCTTCCACATGCTGCCACGTCGCAGACTTTGAGTAAGGGTCCCTCAACAAGTTCTGCGAAGACGGACTCTACCCGATAACCCATTGCCAGAAAAGCCCAAGACATTGCCTCTTCGTAGCCACCTGGGACGGGCTTTGCATGAACGGTTTCCATGCATGGCCGCTCTGCGTTTCAGCAATCCTTCATGTGAACCACCCACATACGTGCTCTACTCTTGCAGCCTTGCCCAATGGTCTGCCCAGAAACCCACAGTGGCAAGTAGGCATCATGGGACTGCGCCCATACCCATGCCCAACAACTTAACTCTAAAGTTTGCTCGGCATGCGAACCTTGCCAGTGGAAGCGAACGAAGATCACCGTAAGGTTGTCCTGCGGATGGGCTGCTGAGTGACAACAGTCATCTGCATGCGAATGGTACATGTTCGCTCCGGCATAGATCACGAACTAGTTTGTGAGCCCACAACATCAGATAACATTCATCTTGTCCTCACTCCCACGCTTGTAGGCTTCCTGCACCAGCGCGCCGCACGCTATTCGGCAGCCTTAGCTGAGCAGAACGCAGATCCTTGCAACCGAATGTTATCTACTCTGCGTGCTAGGTTCTGCATATAGGGTTATGCGAAGCAAGGATGCAAATGAGCTCAGATCCCGTTGCCGCAGCCTTCGCTTCTGTTGCTTCCTAGGGCTAAGCTTCCAGCGCTTCACTGGATCTGGGGGGCCGGGTCTGCGCATCTCCAGCTCCGAGCAGATCTGCAAAGGGGCAGATGTGCAGTGCAGGGTTTGATCTGACACAACATTTCACTGTCAGCCTCGTCATCTTGCATGACGTCTGTGATGCCATCGCACATCAGAGCCATGAACATGTGCGTCCTGCAGCTGTCGCTGCTGACAATATCATGCTGCCAGGCCTCCGATTGGCTGAACCTCGCCTGCATTTGATTTGGCGACACAAACACGTAAGCATCTCGCCATGACTGTGGCAAAAAAAGCGGGCAGAAGCCAGGGTCCTATCGAGCTCCACGCACCTAATGTCGGGAGTGGCTATCAGAAGCCCCTTGCCTGTGACGGCCTGCCAAAACCATTGCATCTTTTGGTCTAAGCACTGGTCAAGAACTCAGGCATGACTCTTGTCACGTCATCATCTAATCGTCTCAGCAAAGAGCCCCTTCACCGAGCTTCAGCAAGCATGGCCTTGAAATCGCGGTCGCCAAGCGCTCTGGACACTGCCAGTGCCACCGGCTCCTGCAGCGCACAAGCTCGAGAAGGCACGCAAAATACGAGAGCCGTGGGTCCAGGACTAGAGGAACGTAAGCACGGGTTAGGTCCGGAGTCCAAGCAATAAGGGTTTGACTCACAAATGCTCATATCGGTAGTTGGCTACATTTCCTTGGGCTGTGAGGAGCCAAAACCTTAATAGGTCAGCTCTCACACACTTTGCAACCGCCTTGCCGGCAAAGCCCATGCCCAAAGCTTGCTGCCGCCGGATTTCCCGCATCTTCTCCTGTTGGTGACATGGCTACGAAGAGAGACCGCAATCCTGAGTAGAGGAATTTTACAATATACAGTTAGACAGATAGAGGTGACAGCTGTAAAACAGTGATGATTCGTGCTTCTCCTGCCGGGAGTTGGGCCTTCAGGTGGGCTAGCCTGACCTGCACACGCCTCACCTGCAAACCTGTGACCCTCATTCTGGCAGGTGAGAACGTCAAATACGTTCAGCAAGCCCTGAAAAAACCCTTCCGCGTGATACGCAGGCTGCTGAAGTGGGGTTGGACGATACCTAATTGCCTCAAACTGACGTACTTGTCTCTTTCTGAACAGCACTAACATTTGACATCATTTGACTTGCACAACCACACAGGCCTCGTAGCCATCATGGGCAACTCTGTACCTAGGAAGCGCTTGTGAGCACCCAGCATATGCAAATCGAAACAAAGCTCAACTACCCATAAAAATTGAATTTATGATGGCACCTATAGGACCTTAGCCCGTGAAAAATCAACACATGGGAATGGGATCCGCAACAACTGAAGTAGCCAGCGTGGTGTCCGTGTCGGATCCGCATTCTTATAGAACACGGCACGGAATCTGCGCTCAATATACACTATATGTATATATATATATATAGAGCGCAAGGTCTGCATCTAATCAATATGGATCTGCGTCTGGGAGATAGAACACCCCAGCGAACGCTCAAATGCAGCTTTTGCCACAATCTACCTCAGCTATTACTCCTGTACACGCCGATCCTGCGGGGTGGGCTTCGCGCAGCGAATTTTTTTGGGATAGGGGCAGCACGCCGTATAGGGACCATGGATGCAAGACCAGGACTATCGAATGCCAAGGCCTAGTTACTTCCCTCTCATAGAGCAGCCTAGGTCGAGACGGTTGGACTATTTCTGGACAGGAACGCGCACACAGTGGTGAAGGCAAGATCATTTGTCCGGCACGTCGCCACAAGCGATCAATTAGTGCAGAAACAGAAAAAGCTGAAGCCGCGGTCAGAAGGAAAGCAGGAGGAGGCCCGCAGTAGCGCGCCAAGTAGGCTCAGGGCGCAGGCGTTGGTCCTTGTCTCTGGGTAGAGTCCTTTGAGAAGTTCCTTGTGTGCTGATCTTCCCATGTACAATGACCTTTGCAAATGTGCAGCGGGAGTTCAAGGCAGGCGGGCGCTTGCATCATGGAGAACCGCGCATCATCTCTGCGGAGTGTGTAGCGGCGGCCATGAAGGAGGATGATAACCCGAAGCTATTATCGCGGCACGGCTGCAACAGCTATGCAGAACGGATCCCAGCAGACGCTAGTACCGAGGCCGAGCACACGCCCATCCCGAAGTCCAGGACCAGCCCACCGGCCTCTTTGACCCTCTCGGCCTGGCAAGCTTCATGCACAGAACAGCCCTCAAGGCCCCCAATGATCCAGTGCTGTTAGGGCTGCTAGCAGCTGCTAACATCGGCTGTTTGGGGTTGTTGCCACTGGAATGGAGGCACATGCACAAAGCCCTCATCACTGACTCCGTTTTCATGCTTGTCACTTTGCCGTTACCGTAGAACACAAGATCCCGAAGCAGTTTGCTTCTGGTACTGAAAGCCTGCTGTTGTTGTGGATGTTGTGCTTCTTACCATTCTTCTCATGATACCCTAGGCCTCAGCCTCCAGGTTCGGCCGATGATCCTGGCGGGATGCAAGCAACCTACTGCTTTTCATAGGGCGTATGCAAATATGCAGCCTTCGTGACCAAACTGGAGGATGCAGAGGGCGTCATAAGAAACACATTCGATGTTCACGTTTGAAAGCAACGCAACGTTCATTGCCAGCCCCTTGTCATGAAGGACCAGGGCTCAGTGGATTGCATGATCTGCTTCTGCTACCCAATGTTGGGCTTCCTTCGTCAGGGAGACCGCCAACATCTGTTGGAGCTGTGACCTCGCGAGGAATCTTGGGAAGTCATGGCTTTGCATGGTTAATGATTGCGGCAGTGGCGGCTGCAACAACTACAGCTACAGGCTGCCGATATTCCGCAACGCAACCCAAGCAGCCGAAACTGAATCCTAAATGCAAGACACATCGCGGCCTCTGACAAAGAACCAGCCTTGAATCTCCGACCTTGGTCATGCAGTCACAAGCAAATTCCAATGGCATGCAGCATGCGAATGAGATCTGTGCCCAAGCAGTGAAGAGCTTGGTCCCAACAATCAGAGCCACAACCTTCGCGTGCCGAAGCAGAGGCTCAAGGCATGTTCATATTGCGGTCATGACAACTCTGCGGCATCTCTGCTTTGCAAGTTGACTTTCTGCGGCACACCTTCAACCAAAACAACTTGATGAACATCAACTCTCCAGAATGCCTGAGTACAAGAAATCCGCTCAGACGGCTGCCAGGACCTGACATGGCCCTTTGCATGGTCTTTAGCCTGCTGATCCCAAACCTTCTCAGGAAGCGGCAAGCGTTGTGCCATCTGGTGATGTCCGGAACTTTGCAAGGAACTCTGAGTCTAGCTCCTGGAGTTCACAAACAGCTTCACTTTGCAGGGTCCCTTTTCCCCAGCTCTGGCAGCGTAGAATAAGTAGAGACTCAGCAGACATCGTTTCCCGAGTCGTTCTGCGACCAGTCATGTTCCTAAAAGGACGAACCAAGGCACCTCGCAAACTTCCTTCAGGGCAGCGCCTGAGATTCGCAGTAAGTTCCACAGGGATATGGAGGCAGGCGGCGGAACAGACATATCTCTACAATACAACAAACAGCAACACTGAAAGGAGCAGATGTGCTTGAGGCTTTCTGTATTGGCACGCGATAGGCTAGGGCCCTCACTGATCCGCGCTTCGTTCCACGCCGCTGTGTCCGTGTCGGCTGACAACTGCACAGTGCCATTGTTTTGACAAGCGGGGCGCTGAGATTCTATGGTAAGCCGAAGGATCTGAAGGTAGCTGCCAGAGTAAAAACGTAGAGCTAGAGTATGCCCCAGCACTTGGCCATTGCGTTGGATCTTGCTGCAGGGGGCACCCGTTTGAGCAGCTTCAGGTGGAAGCTCTTCGCAACGAACTCGGCGCACTGCTGGCCCTGCAAAGAGGCCGAGAAAAAGAGGAGAAAATAAAGACAAGCGTTCCCTCAGCTGCGTGTGCTGACGGCTGACGATACATCGGCTGAGGTCAGGCTGTCATCCAAGCATGGCTAGCTGAGACTCCGAAGCAGCTGCACCTCCTAATATCCCGCCTGATGTCCGTCGAAGACGGAGAAGAGGGCGCAAGGCTGCGGTAGATGGTTGATCGGCATTTTGAGAGCCTGTGTCAGCAAGGCTCAGCACGCGCCCTATTGCTTGCAAGCCTGGCTACAGTACTGCACTGGAAAGAATGTGCGGATTCGCCTTGGCCGCCTTTGTCAGGTCCGGGATTTTTACATGCCGATCCTGCACAGCAGCTTCAACAAGATTCACACGCTTTATTTGCTCTGGCCGGGCTTGCTTTGCTCGCAAATTGAAGCTAATGTTTCGGATTTGCTACAAAGCCAGGAAATCCGAAAACTTGATCTTCTCATCCACCTCGTTTTTCGGCCGTCGGCCCTGCATTGATGCTGAGTCCACGGAAAAGGAGAAAGGCGCGACTGGCACCCTGGCACAAATGATCAACACGGATCCAACTACGGCGTTTCTTGTGGAGCAAAAGGCTAGAGGAGTAGTGGACTCACAGTCTGTGAAAGCCATGGCGTGCGCCTCTGCTGTTTGCCGACGTCAGTTGTGCCAGCCGCATGCACTTGCAGAGATGTTTTGCCAGGTAAGTAGCGGAAACTTTGGCCGGGCAGACGGCATGGGAGCTGGCGCTGCGTCCCTCAGAGTTGCGCATCTCATGTGTGGCTGACAACGGCGCATTACCTGCGTCACAATAGTGCTACTCTCACTAGCATTAACCATCCTTTTGTTCGGCTGTTCATCCGCGATCACGTCCACAAGCGGCCACAACAAGGCCACTTTCGATTTTGAGACCACTGCAGTTCAACTGTTCAGCCTAGTGCGGAATAGTCAGAGTCCCAAGTTCTACGTCAAGTCCAAGTTCTACATCAAGTACAGAGCTATGTCGAATGCTGGAATCCTGGATCCACTGTTTGGTGATGGATTGACTCATCAGAGGCCCGAGCTCTGCGGCCAACTCCCTGCGGAGTGCATCGAAGTCAACCTGCCACAACCGCGCGGGTGGGCCACAGGCCCTGGAACAGAAACATCCAAAATGCCCTATAAGATATTAGACATACTATAACATACTATGATACAATATAATATGGGTTATATTGGGGTTATAGTGGTAACGGACAGGGGCACATCAACAACCTTATTCCGCTTTCCGACAAAACTCGCTCTTTCACACAATCAAAATATCGCGATCAAGCAAAGGCGGTTATATTAGGGTAATATTGGGGTTATACTGGAGATATAGGGGTCATATCGGGTTATAGCAGCATAATATATGATAGTGTATTATGAAATCTTATAGTATGTTGGGGTTATTGAATGATGATTTGGTAGAACTACATCCCCTTTCGAGCCACATCTGGCTTGTAGTGCAGAACGCACCATTCCCCGGGAGAGTAGGTACATATTCCATTCCATGTTCCGTTTGATTCTCCACTATCCCAATATAACCCCTTTCTAATCTCTAGATAAATGACAAATCGCAGTAACAATCCATATCGGTGAAAACCACAGACTACAAGCTATAACTTGAATGTTTTCTTACCTGGCACAGATGTTGCAGCTCCAGCTGTAGAAACCCTGCGCTGCAGAGCGACGTCTTCTTACAGTCCCAGCTTCACCTAAACCGGGAACGCTGAATACTCAACCCTGAACCCTACATCAGGCATGCTAAGCTCTCAACCCTGTGCCCTAAATCCCAAACCCATTCAGGTTGGCCTCAGGCAGGCCAGACTCATCCTGCTTCCCAACCAAGCTGTTGGCTGTAATCAGCTTTCTATGATTAGCTATGTGCGCTGCGGCTATGTATGAAGAGGGTAGATGACATGTATGTTATGATATGAAATTACACACACTGACTCACTCTATATGAATATGTATATGTATATGTATGTCTATATGTACAGCGTGCATATCCTATATGCTTTACGTGGATATGAAACTTGCATGGCAGAACAGGCTGGACTGGATTCAAGCCCTCATGAAGTCGTTTTGCGTGCAAGGGGTTGGTGCACGGAAGTGTCTGGATGTCTGCTCTGCAGAACATCCTGACGGAACAAAACGGCCTGCCAATACCTGCCTTTACCACCGGGCTAGCTCCCCAATCCATTTTGGAGAACAAGTGCCGGGCGATGAAGTCATGCGAGTGACAGGGTGGAAAGGACCTAGAAACGCGCTGTCGCAGATCAAACTCACCCTTGGGCCAGTTCCCCAATCAATTTTGGCAAGCCTGGCTTCAGGTGAGCAAAGTGTCCAGAAGACCAATACCAATCCATGTCATAAAATGTTAGCTTCGATGATGCCTGCGCTGGAAGGTGAAAGTGCAGGATTTGCCTTTGGTCTTCCATGCACTTAGTTCCAATTGGATGCAAAGAGTTGGGCCGACTGACCGCCCGTGGTGGGCAATGCCTGCCTGCACACTCTCGGTAGATACATCAAAGGCTGTACCATCCCCTACATGCCTATTCGCCATCATGTGCGAAAGGCAGGTGCAAGCGAGCTTGCAGCACCTGGGTATTCTGCCGTTAGGAGCAGGCTCCTTCACGGAGACCTGACTCTCAAACTGACACTTCAGAACTGACGCTTTTCGAACGAGAAAATCGGCAGGGCAGACATCTTCCTGTGGTAGCCTTCCGGTAGCTCATCATCAACACGTTCAACCCTTGCAGACGGAAGAACAGCAGGAGGCAGAGCAGCGCCACAACGTTGTAGAAGATTGTCTCTTCGTGGCTGTCACCGCGAGGCCAAATCCTTAGCTCTAACCTCTAACCAAGCACTGCTTGGTACAATATAATATGCTCATGTGCAATGTGCGCTATCTTTCAGCAGAACACCAAAATCTTCCGACAAATCGGCCATGGCTCTCATCCATGGCCAAGAAGCGGAGCGCATCATCACAGGTCAGCGTAGGACAGATCCCGCCAGAAGCCAATTTCTCGTGAGCCGTGCAGCAAAAATCCTCGGAATCACCCCCGAGCTTAGACCCCTCAAGGAGTGCGGCCAGCGTAAGCAGGCGCCTCCTGTATCCCCCCGGTAGGATGAGCTCTGTCTGCGCAATCCCCATCCCTCAATGCCAAACTTTTCCGACAAGCATCCCGCCAGTGGTATCCAACACGTAGAGACTGAAGAAGAAGCTTGAGTGCCGGGTGACTACAGAACAGAGCTGTTTGCAGCAATGCATTTACTGGAAACAGCTTAGATGGATGATATCACTGGTTCGCGGCCAAGCATCGCAGGGAGACGAGCTGCACTGATTGGGGTCGCCAAGACGCCAAACTGAGGCATCGCAGTCCTGGCATGCGAGTCAGATGAACAAGAATGAAACCTGGGGCCACTTGTACTTTGACATGCGAATAGCTCCGTGCTTTTTCTGACAGGATCAGGGCGACCCAGTCCCAGAAGTTGTGTACAGCATCAAAAGGCAGTCAATCAGCCTTCTCTCTGAGTGCTTGCACATGCTTGCACCCATGGACTTTGGCATAAGCAAACACGCTGCTGTCTGACAACTGCGAGGATGTCTTACACCCTTTCCGGCTCCTGCTTCGCGGTGCAAGCAAACTCGTTGGTGACAGTTGCCTGCACCTCGGCTGACTGAAGCCGCGCGAAATCTCGCGTGCAAGATGGCGCAACGGGTTCTCAGATCCATTGCTGTCAAAACAGACTTGAGGGGATTAGCTCATGCCAACTCATTGCAGTCCGAACAGCGGCATATCGGGCCACCATCACATAGCTGAGAGCATTGAAGGGCTGAACCAAGTCATCCACCTGGCCAGGGGAGCCCATGACATGATGGCAAGCTTGCATGGTTCTGGTGCTACAAACCTTGATTAATAGCAGAGGTCGAGCCTTGATGAAGATACCTGCCAAGAGCAGCCTCGAGTTGCTGGAGTCATGGCAAAGCTAATGCGACGGCTTTTGGAAACTCGGGGAACCAGAACAACTTCCCATCTTCAACGGCCAAGTGACTGTGGCATCACAAGGCCCGGAACCTCAGAGAGATTTTGCGAGTAGATTGAGTCGCGATTGCTCGGAACACTGCTGTGTGACTCTAGACCGGCCATCCAGCTGAGACCAGGACAATGGACAGTGCAATGGTCACAGACGGAACCGCGGCCGACACCATGAAGCCCACACCTGTTCTTCAAACCAATGCAAGAGCCTAGACCTCGAGGCAGTCCATGTTTCCCAGTATTGGGGCCCATACTTGAATCATAGGTCCAGTCTACATACTTTTTTTCGGCTGTCTCCAGGTCCCTTCAACTCTACAAGCAACAGTGAGGCATAGACTTGGCAGCGGTACTTTGCTCCTACCCGCGAAGCCTGCACCACAGTTGGACACAATGGCCATGATGAAGTAAAACCACAGTACTCTGTCAGCACTTTCAGAGTTCAAGCCGATCAATGGGTAGGCCACTGCAACCACCAGGATCGGAAAAGTGCTTTGCAAGACGGTGTCAATTGCCACTTTGGCCAAATAGAAAGCTGCTGGATGGTAGAGCTTGTCCTGTGTTTCGCGCAGGAAGACAGCTCTCTCGGCTGGAAATGCATTAGCAACGCCCAGGATGGCAAAGAGGAACTGTGTGAAGACCAACAGGAAGCTGGCAAAGAGTCGAACCTGGATACTGGACATGTTCCGCTCGAGCTGCACGAAGATCAGGCCGATGAGCAGAGCGGCTGCGATGGACTGCACAGCTCGCACGATGGTCAAAGTCTTGTTGCGCTTCACGTTCACCACCTGGCAGAAAGCGGGTACATTTAAGGTTCGGAGTTGCTGGTTTCCTGTGGCTCCCCTTCATAAGTTCACCCTCGCAGCCATTATTGAGAATTGTCCATGCTAACGTATGCAACCACCGTTACCAAGCATGTAAGCAGCATCAGCAAGTACCGGCTAATTACCTTCAGGCACGCACCTCGCGATGAAAGAGCGTGGCCAGCTGTCCACAGAAGCCAGCGCGCCTGCTCAAGAAGTGTGGAAAAGTTATAACGCTTCGCAGATTCGGTAGTTTCCCCAAAATAGAGGAACCCAATATAGACCCCAAAATACTATGTCCTGATTTTAGGGACCCCCCTAAAAGCTACCCCTTACTTTGGGGAACCCCTATGCATACCAATTGATTCAGACCATTCAACTAGCCCAGGAAGGCCGGCCTGGCAGGCGGCACCTCAGAACCGCCTGGGCTGAAGACGGTGTCATCCTTGACCTGCCAGTTCTGATCAGGACTGACCTGCTTTCAATGACACCCATTCTTTTTCAAGAGTAAGTAGCTGTGTATATGTGTGCATGTTGAATGTTGAAGAATGCAGCAGAGCACTGCACATGTTCCAATCTTCCCAGAAATTTACCTGCTTCAAAATCATCAAACTTCCTTTGCAAAAGACAAGGCGCACTGGAGTCAGTCAGCATCCTCAAGCCCTCCAGCTTCTTCTCGTGGTCTGTTGCGTCTACGTTCTCCCCAGGCTTCTCAAGGACATCCAGCAGCAATTCCGGCAAAGGTGTGCCAGGTGGACAGGGGAAGCCCAGATTGCCCAGGGAATCGCCTAGGTCTCTCCTTCCCTGCCGTATCAAAAAAATTAACCTCAGGAAGAGTGGCTATGTGATGCTGCAAGGCTCAGGTAAGTTACGGAGGCCCTTGATGGGTCCATAATACGCAGTCTTGCCAGAAGCCAGCAGCAAGACCTTGTCAAAGCGACCGAAGACTATCTCTGAAGGCTGATGGATCGTGGCAATGCAGGTGCAGCCGGTTTCTGCCACAGTCTTCACCTGCAGAAGTCAAGCATTCAATCTGCGAAGGTTCAGAGAGGCTGCCACCAGCTCTAAGCACCGCTGAAAGACATCCGAGGAACGTCTTTCATGAGAGAGTCCGACATCTTGGAGTCCAAGCCACTGGTGGGCTCGTCCAGTAACAGCAGCGCAGGCTTGCCAATCAAGGACAGGCCAACGTTTGTGCGCTTCCGCTCTCCGCCAGAGATGCCCCGCACAAGCCCAGGCGAGCCCACGATGGTGTCAGCACATTTGGCCAAGTTCCTCATTGGACAACTCAAAACCTGCTGTCCACAAAAGCTCGGGAGCTGAAAAGCAAATCCTGCACCAGTACCAGATTCTGGGCCGGGTTAGCTGAAATCTTGGCAAGGGTCAGCTTCATGATGACTTCTTCGACAACCTCCTTCTGCTGGTCTTTTGAAAGCTTAGGCAGGATGAAGGATGCTGCAAATGTCAGATTCTCGCGGGGCGTCAAGGTCTCATACCTTGGGTACATGCAGCGCTTGCCTGGCTCTGATTGACTTGCAAAACCTTCAAGCGATGTGTAGGCATGACAATGAGGGGGTTGGCACCGCTTGCAACGACATCTATGACACCGCCCAGGTGCATGATGTCATCTTGGGTCACATAGCCAATGTTGCTCCGCACTTTCTGCAGGCTCTTGCCGTTGTAGCTGATACCTGTCTGCTACCAGTGGGGTTTACATAGGCAGTCTGTGCTGCGGCAAGAAACAGCACATTGTCTGCAATAGCTAGCCAACACACTGCGCGGACCCTGCGCTACTTTGCTGTGCCTCCATCGATGCTTCCCATAATGCTTCTGCCGACCAGGCTGTTCAACAGGGTGGTCTTACCTGCTCCTGATGGTCCCATGAGCGCTACCATGTCGCCAGGCTGCACAAGGCAACTCACCTGGGAAACCCATGAATCCAGGCCATTTCACATCAGCATGCTCTAAAAAATAGCTGAGCTGGCGATTTTGCCTAAGAGAAGAACAGGACAGAGGCATACAGAGGCCCTACTGGTGCCAGCGTCTACGTTGTCTACATCGTTGTACAGTAAGTCATTCTTGCCGGGTGACATCCGAGAGGAGCCTGCGACCTCCAGCAACCGTGATAGTCAGCGAGTCCACTGAAACGTTCATGGCGTCTCCAGGCCAAGCTACGATGGCAGAGGGAGCGTCTTGTCTTGCACCACAAGTGCTGCAACAAATCCCAAGCTCCAAGCCACAGCAAGGTACAATGGCTGATGCGCGGACAAGTAGCATCGCTGCCCGTGCGAGAAGTATACAAGAAGCATCATGCAAAGGATCCTGGGCATCCTCCTTCGCGGGCTCAGCAGCCGCCTCCGCAACCTCTGCATCCTGGAGCGCTGGAGCAGCAACATGTAGCCAAAACATCGAGAAAAACAAAAACAAGCCAATCCGAGCTGCAGGGACGCACAAAAACGCGTTTTCTGGCATCCAGTCGCGTGTTGCAGGAGAACAGGACAAATGAGGACAGGTCTCCAGAGTTTTACTTCGTTCAACCTGCAAAGAGGATAGGCTCAACATTGGCTCAATACTGCACCCGTGTGAGAGAATCTCCTCATCTTGCCTCCCTTCCATGCATCCTGCTACTTTGTACCTCTTGCCGGATCCGAAAGACCTGCTGGCAATGCTTGTTTTCAGACTGTAACTCTTGTGCCCTGCAGCAGGTCTCTGGTCGGTCTTAAGTAGGCACGGAACTGGCACAAAGATTGGTACTTCGCGCCTCTATGCCTTTGCAAGCACGACACTGTGTCGGGCAACACAAAACCACGCAACGCCAAAGGATCATGGTCTAAGCTGTCACGTATACAGCAAGCGTACAGGGATCTGAACTCGTAATTGACGCCTCATGCTGAAATTTTACAATGTGGGTCTCTAGGCGAGGAAGGTTCAGCATGACTTTGCCCGGCCACGTTCCAACTTCGAAACGCGAGGTGCGTGCAGGTTCGGCCCAACTAGTCTGTGTGACAGTCTTCTCTTCTAGTTGAGCTGCAGAGGGCAGTCAGAACTGTTTGAGGGACTCTAGACCAACTTTATCTTGGTCCGGTATGCTTCTTCATCAACTTCGTAGCAGAGTTGCGTACTGCTAGTACTTAAACGGATTACCTTCATGCCCCTAGATGCTGTAGATTACGCCCTCAGACTCCAAATCCGGAGCCGGCTCCGCAGTGCGTAGCTCGTAGCCCAGGGACATGCGCGAGGCACGCAGGTCCTCAAGGGGGTTTGCGGAAGTATCACCTTTAAAACGCGCTAAAGGGGTTTTATAGGGGTTATTTAGGGTTATATAGAGTTTACAGGTTATGGGGGTTATGAAGGGTTTGTAGGGGCTATTTCGGGGTATGTTCGTAATCGCACGTGAAAATCAACAAAAAATGATCTGGGGACCGACTCCCAGCTCAAGCCATCTGGAAAGTCTGCTGCAAGACTTTGGCAAGCTTGTGAGTGAGAGTTCTGCACACTCCACTGGCAGCTGCAAGGTACGCCTTCTAAGAGCTGATTGGACCCTGGCATGTGTCCCCTCCTGAATGTGGGGCTGAAGGAGGTCCCGCAGCTCGCGGAGCAGAGCCCCCCGCTGTGAGCGGCAGTAGCTGGGCCCCGCAGAAAAAACGAAGCTGTGGGCTAGGCCTGCATGGCTACATACGTCACGCGAGCTGACTAGCAATACGTCAAAACTACAAGTCGCTCTGTGTCCTGTACATCAGCAGCGTCAGTGGCATATGAACTGAGCGAGGACGCCAAAAATTTTGCCTGGAGCCCCCGGCCTCGATCCATGTCCAGGAAGACGTCTGGATGTGTCAGCAAGCGCGAGTGCCCGTCGGCCGGACACCGCTGCAAGAGCCACCTGAGGCCATCTGCACAAGGTTGGCAACTGCACTTTTCTGGATTAGTTGGCACAATCTGTGGACACAGCATGACACAGCTGCAAATCGCAGCGGCCTGGAGAGGGGGATGCCACCATTGTCCAGTTGCCCTCGCTCTTTGCTTCCATACGAGAGCGCATCCACCACAGACAGATGAACAAAGATCTGCAGCAAATGCCCAGGGTTCTCCGGCTGCTGAAATACTTGCCAGCTAGGCACGTGGAGCCCATACTTCCTCAGCACCGGCAGCAAAAAGGTTATGCCAAACTGGAAGAGCAGACTATACCTCAAAAGTTCTCGCCTGGCCAATTCTTGCAGAGCTTCCGGCCTAGCGCAATGACGGATTTGACGAGAGCATCCAGTCCCTGTATTCGGCCACTGCAAACTCCTGCTGCTAGCAGCATGTCCTTCAACATGCGCTGCCTCGTTGGCAAGTTCACAAGGTGGTGGATTAGTAAATCAGAGCTGGCGTTTGTAAATTCACCATCCACGTCAACACCCACAGAACCCAATCCTGCAGCGCATGCTACCCTGAACCCTAAACCATGATTAGTAGTTTCCGTCTTCTGCCACCATAGACTATAGATTATACCCTACACCGTGTCTACACTCGCATATCTCCGAACATAAACGACTTCAATAATAGACCGCTTGCGACTCAGGTTCATGGTGCTGGCGGAGATTTTGCTGGGAAAACCCCGAAGCAGCCAAGCTTGAAGCATGTTCTGCGAAAGTCCACCCGAGGCGAAGCATGAATTGAAGGCGGAAATTGCAACCGCCTGACAAGCAAAAGCCAATGGGCCTCCTTCTCATGTGGGTGTTGTTCACCATGCCTTTTCCGGGAAGAAGGCGTCTTTTGCGCACTATTTTGCAAACAACAAAGCCCACAACATTCTCATTGATCATGTTCTATCAACCAAAAGACATACCTATGTTTCCGCAACCATAGTAACCAAGCTTGCTTAGCGGCGTGCATTGCGAGAGAGATGTTGGACCACAGCTCAACCTTTCGCGAACCCTTTCGCGAAAGCTACCTTTCATGCTCCCTGCACCTTTTTGCTTGCTGCTTCTGGCTAGACGCCAAAGCTCTCCACTGTTGTGCACACACTAAGCGTGTCGATCTGTATCAAGAGAGCTGCATGGTCTTCATTGCAGACCCCTGAAGAAGAGCACAGCTGCTCCGCACAGCTTGGCCTTAAGCCAGCTCAAATCCCGTCCCCATGTTCAAAATGGCTCTGGGCGGGCGGGTGGGCTTTGCAAAGTCAGCGAAGTTGTCTAACCAGGTCTTCCGCAAAAAGACGTGGATAAACTTGCGCTAGCTCCGTAAGAAACTTGTTGCCCTTGATCCCAGTGAGTTGCACATGTGGTTTCGAAGTCCTTGAACATGCGAACTTGCCATGGCACTTCAAGAGATCAGCAACCTTACAGTTCCACAGGAGAATTCCCGTAGGCTTTTTCCACTGAGTGCCGTACATGCAAAGGTGGGTCTTGACGAACTGCACTCGGTGGTCCTGGAGCAAGCGACGAATCTGTGGAGTCTTCCAAATGCGGGAGCTCAAAGGATTTTCTAGGTAGCCACAAGTGCCCAACCTCAAGCATTTGCGAATGACCTTGCAGGCACCAAACAGCATGTTGTTGGCGCGCTTGACCTTTTCTTGGTCCTTTTCATTGAGCTCCGGAAGCCCAAAGATTGTGTCTGGATCGTCCCCTCTCAACGGCTGAGGCATCTTGGAACCTATCGGTGCCCTGCGTGCTCTGCTCCAGGTATTGCATGGGATGTCAATGCCTACAGCATCAAAACAACTGACAGCTTTTACGATTGAGGTCCAAGACGACAACCTTGAGAGGTCATTGTTTGGGGAGTATGCCACATCAAGCACTGCCGCACATCCCCCTCTTCTTGAAAAAGCTTCTGCTACCTCCGCCTCGCCTCCAAAGAGGCTCAAGAGCTTTTGTCCCCGAAGATCTTCTTGGCTCTTCGCAAGAGGTCCGACGGGAGCGGGCAAGTGCCACTCTGGAAGTAGTCCGGGAAGTGAACACGGACTTTCTCCCCGAACTGTGACAGGTTCGCACGCCGACTGACCATCTGGGCGAGTCTCCCGGGCTTGTCGTAGATCCGGGCTGACGAGTCGACGGCCCACCGGCCTCGCCTCTGGATCGCCTGCACACTTCTCAAAAGTGTAGAAGATGGTCTTGGCTCGCTCCCCCGTGTCTGTTCTGGTACGGGCTGGAGGCACAGTCTTCCACCTGCAGAACTTCCACTGCCTTGCGCCACTCCAAGAGGAACTGCTTTGCATTGAAGTTCCACAGGTCCGTGTCCTCGCCGTGGGAGTCGAAGCGGCTCTTGACGTGTGCCTTCAGGATTCGTTCCATCCAAGGAACCCGGCCGTCGTCCAAGATGACCACCTCGTCGAAGATCCCGGTCTTGCTTGACTCCCCCCTCTCGAAAGGAGCCAAAACCAGGATGGAGTGAGGGTATTCCTCGAGCGCTCCGCCCTGGGACACGAAGTCTGCCGCCTTCAACTTGAGAGCTTCGCCCGGCCAGAGGTAAGTGGAGAAAGTTAGCTCGTTGTACAGGGCCATGTCCTTCCGGCCCCTCCAGATCAGCAGCCCTGAGATGGCACTCTTGACGTACTCGATCATGGGAAGCCTGGTCTGAGTCGGCGCCACGCGGCGCCACCCCTTCAACGCTCTTTTGAAGCGGGGGAGCTTCAGGCTCCCTTCGCGCGCCGCCTCGGGCCTCCAAAACTCCAGCGCTGCCTGTAGCTTCTGTCCATAGCTGGAACCTTCTCCATTCAAGAACAGGTGGTCCGCGTAGTCGGACAGCGCTGCGTCGGTCTTTCCGGGCCGTGGTGGGGAGACGGTAGAAAGCCACGAACTCGCAGAACTTGTCGAGCTTGGTCTCGTAGTCCCTCCTCGTGCCCTCTTTGACACTTCCGAGTTCCAGAACCGTCTTCAGACCCTGAGTGGCTCGAAGGTGCCTCCCGAACTTCTTCTCCCTCTCGCGGGCTTTCTTTCTCTTCTTTTCGGCTCTTTGAACAAGTGCTCTCAGCGCGGGGATCAAAGGCCTCCCTTGCGGTGCCTCCCGCAGCCTCGAACGGCTTCTGCTGCGGGGGTTTGCCTCCTCCACATCTAGCGGATGGGGACTGCGGCACCGCTGGTTGGCCTTTCTGACCTCCTCCTTTGTGAAAACTGTGACTTTCCGCTTTTGGCCTCTCTCGGGAAACCTCCCTTGGCGTGACAAAACGCTTTGGCTCCCACTTACGGCTGTCCTCATCAGCTACATTCTGCTCTGAGGCAACCCATCGCACGTGGACCCTAATGCCACACGCGAGGCTGTAAGCCAGCGTTCTGCGTATGATACGCAACAGGGCAAAATTGCTGCATCTGCCCTTCTGAGTAGCCAGAACCACCCCCATATTGTCATTCAGGATGAGCACATGGCTTCCGTGTATTCTGGCATCACGACTGACATGCTTGACTGTAGCTAGGATACTGCGGCCCTCAAGCAAGTGCACTGGCTCCTTGAAAGTGAACGGTGCACTCCAAGCTCGCCCCCAATCCTCTGGATGAAGAAGCGACTTTGGCACCTCGGGGAAGTCAGGATCAATCTCCCAATCACCTATCACCTCTCCATCCACCAACGGCTTCACGGTGCACACGTCACTGAACACATCAGTTTCGGCCAAAGCCGCCTGTCGAGGTGCAAGTTTGGGGCCCGAACCCCGATAGAACCGCCATCTCTCATCTTCAGCTCCCACATGCCTGGCGATGTCAGCAGTCACTACCCTCTTCATCACGGCATATCCCGTCAGGCATGCGTCTGTGCAAAAAATTTCACTGCGCCAGGGCGCCCGCATGTTGCTGTAGCCAAGGACCATGAGACACCTGAACATTTCCAGTTCCCGACGTACCGATGGCCAAAGTTTAGTACGCTTGGCGTAGTTCTGCTCAATGAAAACATAAACATGACGAAGAACACTGAGGAGACCACGATGTAGTAGCGCACGCATGGTAAGATGGCCCACCACAACCTGCAACTCTTCCCCGGAAATGCGCATGGGAGAACTGCGTGCGAGCAAGGCCTGATCCAAACGATGGTCACGAAGAGGAGTAGTTTGTACGCAACTGCAACCTCCAAGGCCGTCAATCCTAACCCCCAAACTTTCACAAACGTTTGAGCTCTCCACCAAATCATGGGTAGCCAGCCCCCGTGAATTCAACGCCTCCATCATCCGAGCCTGATCATTGCGAACAGCTTCCCGGCTGACTCCTAAATGATTCCCGTTGTCCGCATAAACCAAACAGGCCTGTTGGCAATGGCCGACCTTCGTGCCCATCATCGGAGCAGGTCGCTTGTCCTGGACGATCATGGCCTTGGGGAGGGTACGTCGAGTTAGTTCAACATGAGCAACATGGGCCAAACGAAAAGCCCAGGCAAAGCCCATGGGCAGAACCATCATGCGCGGACAAAATCGGTGCCTCAGAGTTGTCGAGCAGCTCTTGCAAATCCAAGGGGATGTAGCCGAGACACTCCTTCAGCATTGCGGGGTCAATCTTTGGCAAGGAAAGTACTCTCCCAAGTCCTTGGAAATCTTCAGGCGGTAGAAGTAATCCTTCACATCCTCCTGAGCCACGAACAAATCAGAGTCTGGATCACACCCTAGACGAGCCCAACTGTCCATGGAACCAAGCACCGTCGTCGGGAGGACTGCGAAAAAGCTTATTTGTACGTCTAGCATCAATTATCAATCTCTGCTTCTCGCCCTTCTTCGTGACTACAAATGCACCCACCTGAACCCGAGGAGATGTGGTGAAGCTGATCAGTTTGCTCTCGACCAAGTCGGCCACAAATTCATGGTAAACTTTACCTCCCCCTTCCAAGCGAGGATCCATGTACCTGTCACCCACAAACCCGCGCTCCTGGACCCCGGCGATCTCCTCGTCCGACAAAAGCATGTGGTGTTGAAAGTCACGCAATTGATCTCGCTCCTCCGCAGGCAACAGTGAGTCCAGAGGGATGGGATCAGATTGGTCACGAGGAAGGGAGACACGCTCCCTCACGTAAGAAGCCAATTGCCCTGGCAGGACCCCTGCACTTGAATAAGGGGACCCCGCCTTTTTAAGCAGCAGCTGCCGTAGCGCTGCCTGCGGACTTAACTTCTGAGGGGGCGGGGGCCTCTGTACATGTATATCCCTCACCCTCTGCAATACCGAAGACTGGGCCTGATTCAAAGAAGAACTTGGCCAAAGCCTTTCATCATCAAAACCCGCCAGATGGTTCAGGGCCCAGAGAGTGCCACGCTGCCGATCATCAAAAAGTCGACGCCTCTGGACACGCTGACGTGCCCTCCGTGAACTCAAGCTCCCCAAACTCCCAGCAAAGCCCCCAAGATCACCAGGCACAGGAAGAGGAAAAAGGTCACCATGCCTCGCAACCGGCTCATGGAAAATCGATTGAGTGCCTAAATGCTCATCGGCCATGCCCCCTGCACCCTCGGGAACACGACCGTCCCCCTCTCTCGGGGGCGCTCTGCTCATCCTTCTTCTTCTTGCCACCGCCCTTGCCAGGACGCTCTGCATTGCCACCACCTTCCTCTTCGCCACGGCGCGTGGCATGCTTTCGCTCCTCTGCTGCTAACCTTGTTTGCTTCAACACTTCTGCCTTGGCCGCCTGCCGCTTGGCAGCGTGCTGCGTCAAAGCCGGGTCCACCACGCTACCATCCCCTGCCTCTCGCACTCCAAGCACCTCCTCGGCCGCCTCGTAGCTTGGTGCATCTGGCCGACCTTGATGTGCAATTTCGATGAGGGCACGGCGACGGTTCAAAGCTTCTGCTGAGGCAAGTGCAGGCAAATTGAGTTGGTCATAGCTCGCCATGAAATCCAAGGCTCGGCAAAGTGAAGAATGTTCATGAATCGAACGGTCCGAAGTGCGAACACCACTCTTGCGCATCCAGGACTCATGGTGTTGAATGAAGCTCATACCGAGGTGCCGTAACTGCCGAAGATCACGAAACATGGTTCTCGGACCTTGAGGCGGAAAATCTTCATATTCAATCTCGTCATAGTCCGGCATAGCTTCAGCCAGAGTACGCCACCTTTCCTCGGCCGTATCGAACAGTACAGGTAGGACGCGGACATCACGATCATCACGATCTGGCTCCTGCCTGCACTTCCTGGCCTTCTGGCTGATCCCCGGGGCCTCGGTCATCGAGCAACCTTGCGCAAGGAACACCGCACCATCCTTGGAGAACAGCTTAAAGGCGAAGTCACCTGCCTTGACAACTGGGGTGCCACTCGGAGGAGACACTTGTTTCCCGAGTTTTTCGCCAGACTGATAAACCACAACCCAAGCATCATGATCCTCAACAACCTCAGGGATGGACACCACTTCGCGCGACTCCGCCTCTCCACTATGCCCCGAGCTGCGACGGCCTGGCGCCGTCTTCCCTTGAATGCGAAGCCGAGGTCCAAAGGTGGACAAGTCACGAACCGTGCCGTCCGGCAAGTGCACCTGCTTGCCCCCAACCTCAGGCGGAGACCCATATGTGCTTTCATGCTCGCGCCACGCCTCCTTGATGAACTTGCTGGCGAACTCATTATCCACGGTTTCCCGGAAGCGATAAACGGGGCGGTTGTAGCGAGAACGAGCCCCATGAGCCACTACCCTGACCCGCTCCGGTCCATCCACAGCATGGCCCCCGAGGTCTTCCTCATAAACGTCCAAGTCAGGAGTGACTATCCAGAACATATTCTCACCTTCCCCTTCCAGGAGAACCAAGCGCTCATGCCACACAGTATCGTCCGAGTACCACACTCGAACCAGATCACCAAGATGCATCCTCAATCACACCTCTGCCCCTCCGCCTACTTGTATTCCCCACAGTGGAGCTGGCAGTCACCGGTGCGGAGGCCAAGGGCGAGACGCATTGTCGTGTGACAAGGAAAACCAGAGCGTGGCTAACCAGCAGAGATATCCAAATGACCGTCCAGAATGAGAGCCCTGAACCCTTATCACCAGTATTCTCCAGCAAAGGGCCTGACTCACAGTAACAGGCGCAGTCGCAATGGCACGGGTGCGCTTCCAACCGAGATGGCTCAAGCGCCTTCCCTAGAAGGACTGTCAAGGCCACTAGAGCCTTTTCCCACATCGAGCAGAAACGAGCTGAGAAAGAACAAGTACAATGTACAGAAACTCGAAGCATTCAGCAATTACGCACTCAAGTGCACACATGCATTATCAACAACCCATGAACTCTTACGAACTTACGAATATGGATTTCTGAATGACCCCAATTTGAGTATCGAATAACATTGCTGTCAGCTCAACAGTGCGGATGCTTCTTGCGGAAATAGCCCGTCACTTCCCTCAGACGCTGGAGTGCTGGAGTGCTCAAGTGCTAGCGCGTTAGGATACTTTTGAAGCTTCCGTTGCCCGTGGTTTATGGCGACTTACCAACATAAATTGGAATGTCCCGCTGAGAGTTTCTACAATGCCATGGATTTGCACCTGGAATTCAGCCGTCTGGTCATTCAGGCTGCTTTCCCAGATGTGTAGCAGATTGTGCAGGCACCTGATGTTGTTGTACGGTTGCCGCCGAAGTCGCATCACAGGAGGCCCGTCAATGGGATAGTTCAGAATGCAAGCAGCAAGTGCGGTCTGCACTTCATACAGAAGGCATGAACTCGAAAAGCTGTGGTAGAACACCACATAATCTTCCGAGTAACGCAGCTCGTTCTGCAACATCTCGTGCATGATTCTGCCGATTGCATCGCCCAGTGGGGGCCGTAGCGGCTTGACCAATGCACGGAAAAGATCTGCAGCATCATCGCGACCCTGCAGTGAAGGACAAGAACTGTACCTTGTGTTGCACAGCACAATCATCCGAAGCCAATGAGACATCAGCGCATTGTCAAAGACATAGTGCATTGCGATTCTCCTAGCAAAATGTGAAGATACAAGCCCCCTTGAGGCACACCAAGGCTCAAAGGCCAATCCTGATCTCGAATGGGGTCAAGAACCTCCGATGCCGGCCGACGGGCTGCTCGCCGGGGCGCGCTCTCAATAACACTGGGAATGTCCACCTCATGGGTGCAAGAAAGGCTGAGGGTTATGCACCCCTGGTGGCCACTATTATAATTCGAAATCCTCTTCCTGAGAAAGCAAAAATCAGCTTGCATTACTGCAGGAACCGTGTGCAGCAAGGGCTGCTGGAGACCGGAATGGATGTTCCCTCTCTTGTTGTGATACGAAAGGTAGATTTTCAGCAGCCAAAGGAGGGTAACCAGCAGCCAGGAATGCGGAACGTAAGGAGCCATCCCACAGCTGGATCGCAGCAGAAGGCAAATTGTCACAGCTTCCTGAAGTGTTATGGTTTTCAACACAATTCAACACAGATGCCCACCTTCAAATCAATACAATTCCTTCCCGCCTAATGTGCACCAAGCTTCGGAGTGCTGGTTCACAGACCTCCTAGCCAATGCAGAAATCTCCTCGCAGAGGTCGGAGATAGGCCCCTTGGAAAAGCCTCGCACGACCGAGTACACCACACCCAGCAGGTTCATGATCGTGCCCGCCTGCGGAGCGCACCAGTTTTTGTGATGGCCGTCATCGTTGCTTTATGTTGCTTACAGCATCTCCCCTTACATTAAGGCGTAGTGCGGACGAGGCACATCATCGCTCATGAAGTGGCAAAACATCCCAAACGCAAAAATGCAGAAGAGATTGAGGAAATGAAGGCAGGAAATTCTGGGTGGGATGACAAGGATGTACACAAGCGCTAAGAAGGAAACCAGTCCGTCGAAGCCCTGCGGTGTACAAATGATAGCAGCGCGGCAGCTGCACTGGACCACGTCCTCTAGCAGCGCGCTGACACGCTTCCGCTTAACCATTGAGGACTCCAACTGCATGGCGATGGGCAGAGCCTCGTCCAGATGCACGCCTACACTGCGGAGCTCCTCCACAGCGGAGGCATAGTAGCCCGGGTCAGGGTAACCGTGCCTTGTGGGGCCTCCGGCCATCGATGTCTTCAGGTGGATTGCAAAAGCCGGACGCAGTCGGCCCGTCGTGCTTGATTGGCTCAAGCTAAACATGAGCCTCCTCCGAAAAGCCAGCTGAAAAAGAGCCAGAAGATGTCGACCCTGCTCGTCATCTGGCAAAAAAGCATGCAGGGAGCGTCCATCGTAAATGCGTCCACCCAAGCTTCCAGTTTGAAAGTAGAAATGCAGTAGAATTGTTCGGCAGCGGTGGCCCGACAGTGATCGGTTCCTTGCACTGCTGCTTCAGTCCAAGATACTTGCAAAAACTTCTTCAACCCTGGGCAGCTGTGCTGTTCACTCTGCAGACCGTGGCGCAGCCAGCCCCAGCGCATGTGACCATCAGGCATGTTCCCTGTCCGATCGCCGTACCGCTGTCCGCACGTGGGACCTTGGCGGAGGGTGGCAGAGAAGTCCAACGCATACAGAACATTGCCGAACGATTTGCAAAGCTAAAAAGAGAAGCTACCAAGGGGCATGTTGGCCTTCGCTGTAGCCATTGGTCAAGGCATTCCTCATGATACCTGCTGGACAGGGAAGCAGCAGAGTCTAGAGCTCTTTAAGGCGTGAAGAATGTGAAGACAAGCGCATTTAGACGTTGAATATCACTGACCCTTGCCTGTGGCTGCATGGGAGCTGAACAGTGGAATGCCCTTCCAGGCAAATGCAGCAGGTCTCCTCCTCGGGGTTCGAGCTGGTAACCTGCGTGGGTCAAATCTCCTCCCTTTCCGCTGCCCTGCCCAGCGCGTGCAAGATTCTGCTGCGTTTATGTCATGACTCGTTGAACGTCTGAAAGAAGCTACGTAGGAAGCCACAAGACAAGAGCTTGCGGACCCAGACGCACGCCTTCAACGCCAAGTCCCTGCTGCGCAAGTTCTTCTGCTCCGTGCTGTCCCGCGGCACAAGCTGAGCATCAAGTGCGGTGGTTTCAGTAGGATGCATGGCTATTACCTATTACACTAGTCCAAAACCTCAGACAATAATTTCATAGAAAGGTCTCTAGACGTCTGGACGCTCGGCCGTGAATTTGTAAAAAGATCCTACCCTAGGCCCCTAAACAGCATTTACACAAATAATCAGATTTGGCCAAAGCACCAGCTGCGGCTCTTCTGGCAGGGCCAGCGTCAAAGAAGTGCCCATCGCGGGAGGCTGTACAGTAAGTGTTTTACGCTTGCTTCTTGCTTCACTTTTTTGGGGGCCTGCCTTTTGGAATTTGAAATGGGAGATGCCGGGCGGTGCTGGGAGGTTGAGGGCCTGGAGCCACGGGGGGGCTTCGTGCGGACCCATTTGCTTGGCTGCAGCTTTGGCATCTCTCCGCTTCTAAGCTGCAGCCCGGCAAAACCGGCACAGACCACCGCGCACAACTGTCACCAATCTGGATCTACAGATGCTGAAGGAAATCCCAAGGTGGACAAGCGCCTCCTTCGCCTCCTTTGGCTCCTTCTTCTCGGGGTCACTGGGCCCCAGCCTCCAGTCACTTGCATTTTTGCACCTAGACAAGCGGGGGAGAGATAGCGCTCAAAAGAGCTGAGTGGCTGGCACCTGAGGCGGGCCTGAAGCCTGAGGGATATAAGCCATAGCATGAGCATGAACTTGAAAAATGAAAGCAAATTTCTGAAAATGCTGCTCTTCCAAGCCTCTGGGAGCTTTTCGCCCTCTGTCTCAGCCATTTGGCGGTCCTCTCGCGAATTCCGAAGGGCTCGACTGGATATGAGACTGCGCCAAGAACAACGTTCCCACCTCTGCACCCAGCGCCGAGGGACTGATTGAGCCAAAAGGAATCGGGCCAGCCAAAAAAAACAAGCCTTAGACTGCTTAGGATTAGATGATCAAAGGTTCCTCCACAAGCTGCCTGCGTTTTCAAAATACCAAGCACGGCCAGGTCTTGTGCATAAGCAACGGCCTGGGTTGTGTTCTGACTAGCTGACGAGCCCCTGTGAGTCAAAACCCCTTGCTGCCCCAGGAAAGGAGCTAGAAGCATCACTGGAGCGTCGCCTTTCAAAATCAGGGTACACTAGAGCCTGGGGCCAGGCACAGTGTGAACAATGCAGCTATACCATGTCACACGCTTAGGATGGCGAGCTTTGATTTGGGTTGCTTTTTCACCTGCTACTCATGCCACTGTTAAGCGGACACTGGAACAAGAAACGCCATTGGTGATCCCAAGCCCCCAACCTGAAGCTCCCACTCGGCAACAAGCTCTCAGCATGATGCAGATGGAATCCACAGCTGAGGCTTCCCAGCTCTGAAAAGTGTCGTGCCGCCCTCGATGAGATTGTGCACTCTGGGACCTGTTGGATGCCTGTCTCTGAAAGCTGGAAGCAAGCAAGTCATTGACTTTGGCTGCTGCAGGAAGGAAGGCTGGCGTTTCTGGGTCCCTAATTAGAGGTTGTGCCAGAACCAGCAGAAAGAAGGTGGCCACTTTTTCCAAGCTCAGCACTCAGTTTGCGACGGCGCAACCTCAGACGGCTGAAGCCCTGCTCTGCTGAACGTAGCAGTAGTAGTATTATTACAGTAAACAATATTGGGGTAATATTGGTGGGCTATATAGGGATAATGGAGAATAAAATGGAAACTGCTATGGTATAATAAGCCTCCACACCGATAGGGGGAAGCCAAGGCCCACGAAAGCCCGAAAGTGCATGTGATGCTGCTTTGTGAGGCTTGTTATCTAGAGGAAGGATGATCGATGGATAGTAGCAACTGACACGTTCCCCAAAAATAACAAGAATAAATCTGGATGATGAATGAACAAAGGGCGCGGAGCAGAAGGGGTAGAAAGAAGAGCAAAATGAGAAAGCAACAAGGCGTAGAAGGAAGAAGACAACACATATGAAAAGGGCCACAGCTGATGAAGACGAGAATGCACGATAAAGACAGATATGACAAGACAAAAGACAAGAATGCAAGATAGACACAAATCTGATTGGTGATGATGCACGTGTCCACCACGCCGAGGATTAAAAACTACTACCAGACCATCACGGTTGCAATGACAAGGCGAATGAAGTTGTTAAGGGTGTGGAGGGTGATATCAAGGCCATGACGACATTTGGATGGTCACATCCTGATCATGATGGTGACGATGAAATTGTGATGGTTATGCTGGTGAACATGACAACGACGATGATGATGATGATGATTGTGATGATGATGACGATGACGATGGTGATGATAGTAATATTAGTAACCTCTGTCCTCATCATCATCATCATCATCATCATCTTCATCATCATGAGCAGCCGCAGCAGCTGCAACTGCAGTGTAGCACTGCAAAGATGATGGCGATGATGATGATGATGATGATGATGATGATGATGATGTGGAGGAGGATGGGAACTCAGCAAGAGACAAGAAGATCAATAAGTGACACATGATATTGCGATGATTCCAGGAGCCCTGCGTGAAACTACATGTGATGATACTCAATATGAGAATGAGGTGCCGCATGCATGGTGCCAATGATATCAGTAGGACGTACGAGGTGCCGCTAATGATGATGATCGAAAGAATGATGGCTCTGACCATGCTGAAGCCCAAGATTGCAACATTGGTGACAAAAAGGATAGTCATGATGGAAACGACGATTACATGACGGGCATGAATAGAGTGCAAGGCAAGATGTATGCAAAAACGGCCGAGATGTGCTGACACACCAGCCTGCTAATGGCAAGCGGCTTTTGCTGATGCTAAGGCATGAGAAAATGAGGATGAAATGGGGATGGCGTACTGATGTAATTTGAATCTAACGGCTCCCCTCTCCCTCCAGAACATGGCTTTTGTGAGCCACACAACACAACCCACAAGTACCTCAGCTTGCTGCCATGACTTTCAGGACCAGAAGGATGATGCTTGCATGCAATAGTACTTTTCTGAATCGGACATAATATTCTGTTTCAGAAAACTCTGATGCTGTTTATGAGGTGGTATGCAACTACTAATAAAAGTTCAGGCCTTGACACTCATTATCAGGCTAGCTAACGGTGCAGGCAACCACATTGCTATAATCATATGGGGGGGGGGGGAATATTATATTGGGGCAATTTTGGGGTAATATTAAGGTTTTATAAGGATAGTGGAAACGAAAATGGAAACTACTATGTTGCAACAAACAAAAAGGCTTAGCGCCCACCACCCACGGGCTGGCTGCTTGTGCACTTGGCTTTAGTTGTACAGAAGTAGTTGACCCTACAACTCCCTATGTAATCTGTACGTACTATATTCCTTTATTCCCTACTATAACACAATATCCACCCTAGAATGTAGTAGCTTCACTTTTCCTTTCCATTTTCCCTGTATAACCCCAATTTAGAACCAAAACCCTAAACCCCTAATATTACCCCAATATAGTATTACCCCCATATAATTATAGCAGTTTCGAATTTGTTTTCCATTAACCCTAAACCCTAAACCTCAAAAGCAAGGTCCTGCCTTGCACTGTGTCATCGCAGAGGACTGCTTTGGCTGCGGCGGCGGTACCCGCCAGGAGATGGGAATGTACCTGTTACTATCCTTAGAAATGGAATCTATAAGGGTCATAATATGGGGATGATGGAAACAATGGAAACTACAACTCTATAATGGGGTATACAGGCTTAAGGTAGGGAATGAGGGAATATCTATAATCTAGGGATTGAATTCTGCACAACTGGAAGGAGTAGAAAGTCAGCCCACGAAAAACTTCGAAGCTTGGGATGCCAAGGCAGTGCAACTCTGCTAAGTCTCGCCCTACCGGAACCCTCGACAAAAAACTACCCTATGATATTGTTGTAGTTTCCATTTTCTTTTCCATTATCCCCATGACCCTTATATATTGCCTTTTTTGAGATGCAAGGACGTAACCTATCCTGCTGGCTTGTCAGTGTTGCGAACGAGAAAGACACAACTTGCGATGATTATGACAAGACTGTATAAACAGCATGTCCGACTAAACGTCAGAGCGGGACAAATACTCCAAGTTAAGGTTGACGTGCACACGCCACTCCCCTCAGACGACAGCTGAAAGCTAGAACCAAAAGAGACGAGCATTGGCAGCGAATGTACACCTCATCTTGGGTGGTAAAGTCTGCAATCAGAACAATAAGAATAACAATAGTAGCAATGGATCATTATTCAACTTTGTCCGGGTCTCCTCTGGATTATGTTTGGCCCTTGGCTGCAAACGTGCTGATCTGTGAAGCGGTCGGGGGCTGGATACTTGGCTCAAACGGGCGAGTGTTCTCATTATCATTGTGTCCCCTTACTGCAAAACGTGGGTGGGTTCTTGTATTGAGATGATATTATCCCAAGACCAACGGTAAAAGCTAACCCAGAGCGGAACCCGCAATTTTGAGAACATGTTGCAGCTCGAAGCCAACCTGGGAGCGGTGGCGATGCCTTCGGCGCCTGCGGCCTGACCCGGCATCACGAATCATACTCCAGAGTGCAAGCATTGCAGGATTCGTTTCGGGTCTGCCATTGAACCTGAAGCGCATTGAAGCTAGGGCTTCCTCAGGTTGCCAGCATCACCAAAGATTATCTGGAGTGAGGTCGCGTCTGCTTTTCAGCACTAGTTTACACTGCATCTGTGCGCTCCAAAACTCGGCAGATGATCGCACCTCCAAAGCTGCAGAAGCACCACTGCGCATCTCTTTCCTGCACAGAGAAGCAGGTTCAGGCGCGCGAGTTCCGTTCTCAGTCTGCTGCCTCTTCCGTCGTCCCAGGCGCTGCTTGTAGCGCGCTTCATGCGAGAAGTGGCAGAATCTAGGTACGAGAGACTCTCACGCACCATTAGAGGCACTTCTCTCGCGGCCCACAAACATGGTTGCAGGGAATGATCCCTCTGAGGAACATGATTCTGTAATGCTATGCGACTTCGTCTAGGACCGGACAGGCAAGCAGCTCCGTTGCGGCAGGGTCGGCGCGAGGAGCCTCGAGGCTTCGCAGGCCACGTTGACACCGTGCAGAGCAGGGAAGTAACGATCTCTCTCACTCTCTCGCGTTCTAAGGCCAGCACTAAGAAAGACACAGGGGCGGCACTCGCCCTCTGCATGCCTTGTACCAATTCACCCTCATTAACCTTCTTAAACGCAATCTTCACGTTGTCATCTGATTGTGCAGCTTGGATGCAGTGTTGAACCGATGGACGTCAGCTTGCCGTCCTGCTGTGCAAAATGATGCAGACCCTCGCTTTTCCGATTGAATGCGGCAAGGGCAATAGAACGCAGCTTTACGACTCTCTGCAGGAATCTCCACCCTTGGTGAAGCCGAAATTGACTGGGGCTTTGCCTAGGTGCAGAGTTGCGAGATGGAAATCTGATGCCTCGTCCAAAGGCACGTTGCTCAAGGCCTCTGGGAAAACAGAATGGATTTTCTGCCTAGCAAAATACGGTCACAGCACATGAGTCAGAAGCCACCGGCTAACTCAACATATTGCTCTTAGGGTAGACACCTACGTTAAGACTTGCGCATAAGACTGCACCTCAAATTCTAATCACATCCACGTGGCATGGATGATCCTGGTCGCCTGCCTCATCTGAGAGCTCTCGTGGGATCTCCGGAACCATTTCCGCATCGCTTGGTCCCTGCGACCAACCCAAAGAAATCAAGTGCGCTCTCAACTCAGCCGCGGGCCCATCTTCACAAAAACTTGATTCACATCTGCAACCCAGAAGCTTAATGATTTCAGGAACCCTGCCACATCCAAACTGTTGGGGGATAGCAAGTCGCGAGCCCAGAGAAACTTTCATATGCATGCTAGAGCCTCAGCCTCAGATGGCGTTGCAGAGCTGCTCGTGGGAACTGCAAAGGGTCGCAAGCAATGATTGGTTCTCTGTTGTCTGCATGTGTGGACGTCTGTCTCTGCACATGCAATACTGGAAGCGCAACTGAGTAAGCAGCAGCACTCTACGTTGCCGGAAACCCAGCCAAGTTGGCAAGTAACTAAAAGAGCTGATGTCTGCCACAGGCACAATGCAACTTGTAATTATGCATGCGAGGGTTGTGCCTGAACCCTCCCTGTGCTCCAGGGGTTGCACCTTGAACATTAGCGCATGCACCTGAGCTCGTGCCGGGCGTTCTCCTCTACTGGTCCTACTATGCGACCCAGAATTTCAATGAGCCTGGAGCTCCCGCCAACATGATGATTCCGCACGAACCAAGCAAGTGATCAAAAGCTCCCAAGAGCGCCTGCACTGCGAAGCGGTCGCAGCAGCTACCTGGCTCCTCAGAGCGACTACGTCCTGTCAAAGATGCACAGGGCAGGAAGACATGGGCGATGAGAACTGGTTTGACTTGCACTCATGCAAGCTCCACATTACAACCACCTGGAGCTGGTGGGCGTCCGCTTCATCGATGAATGTACTGGATTGAAGGATTTCGTGCTAGGCTCCGGCAATAGACCGTCCTGCGAATCCAGCCGGTATCTCGGGTGGATATGCAAGGAAGGTGTGTCTGATGTACCTCGCCATTGGCTGCATGAGAGCTTTGGCCAGAGCTCTGTGATTCATCGGAAAATTGAGCACGGGATGTAAACGTCGGCGGCCGCTTCTGGGCACACGCCTTTCCTGCACAATGACTTCAGACGATGAAATATGATGAAATGAAGGCCGACGTCGCCCCATGAGATGCAAGATTAACCTGCGAGAGAATGAACCTGCTTTCTCCAGGATGCCACGTCAACTGGAGGCAGTAGAAACTCAGGCCCTGGCTGCTCAGAATAGCCATCGGCCAGGGGCATTGCGAGGCTAAGCTGAGATTACTGCTGGGGCTTGGTGTCTACATGATCTGTAATCTTCTGTAGGATTGAATGCAAAGGCGGAACAAGCGAACGGACACATCTAATCACGCAATCCTGCTTGCGCTAACTCGCTGCTGCAGGTGAGCTGCGCTGACTACCTGGTGTTGCGGGGGGGGATGCTCAAGCTGCATTCCTGGCTCTCACATTGACCAACTTCGCAACATCCTCTTGGGCCTTGCGGAAATAGCGGCACAACACCCTTGGGCTAGGCATATTCTGGCCTGCTGAACTGCCATAATGTGCACTAACAGGCCGCAGCGTTTAGTTTTGTGGTGGGTGCACCTTCTCCGAGCTCAAGCCTGAAAATTGTGAAACGTGGAACTTGGACTTCTGCCCCGTGGCTCTGCTCGAATGCCAAGACCCAAGGCACACGAAGTAGTGCAGGCTTCGTCTTAAATCGTGGCCACGGAGCTACCAGCGAAGAAGCATTGGGGTGAAAAGTGCTGGCGCTTCCTTGTGATTCGGCGCCGCAGTCTGAAAATTGTGCAGCGTGGCAGCTGAGGCTTCCTGTAGTATCTAATCTTATGACAGCTGTCGGCACTCTCGCAATAGACGGAGACTACAGATCGTCCGTACAGTTAGTCCCACTTACACTGCCCATAGCGCCAACTGCCACACCATTGCACCTACAGAAAAAGCAGCTTACATCAAAGAGAAGTCCAAATTTGCGCTAGCTAGTTCAACACAAGCTTGGCTCTTCACCGTTTAGACCTCTGAAGCTACAACATCTAGCCAACAGTGTAACTTGCCTTTCGTCAGGCGAGGCTCAGCTTGAGCTGGTGGAGGTGGCGGAGCCGGCATTGGCGTTGCCGGCGCCTGTGACCACCATCCTGTCCTGGCTTCTTTTCGCAGGGCCAAAGTAGCTTGAGTACATGCGAACACGTATGCGTCCCAAGATGCCTCACTCAGCCTTTCAAAGTCTTTGCTCCCCTAAGTTGTGCAGCTTGCGTGCCTCATCGGACTCGAAGATGCCCGGCTGGTACTCCATGCCCTATGCTGCAGACTTCTCTCATGAAACATGAGGGCTGAAGGAAGACACTGACAGCTGGTCACGACAGGATAGGAAACACAAGAGTCCCTATCCGTAAACAGATATAAACAGGTACATGGCTTCGCTATGCCTCAGACGTCTATGCAACTCTATGAAAGACAGGCTGCTACAAAAAGGAACACCAAACCATACCATGACATGCACACCTGCTCCATCAATCGGAACAGCTTTCCAGTGTCGGACCTGGAGCTGCTTGCCAAAACCCTCTACATTGGGATAATAATGGAAAAGAAAATGGAAACTACAATAGGGTTTATAGGGATTATATAAGGGTTATTATAGGGATTATATATCCAATTTTCTTCAAGGGCACAAGTGGGGAGGAAGGATTGGCAACCATGGTACTACAAAGCACTGCTTTAAGGATTCAAGAGCAAGGTCTTGAAGAGCTTGCCGAAGATCGTTCAGAAACGATGCGGACTGGGCAACCGGCTGAAATCGAACACCGTTCTGGAGCTCCTCAATCGTCTCCTGCCATTCTTAGGGGTCGGGCCACCCGACTCCCCAACGGATTTCCCCTCCTGTCCTTCCTCAACCACCAGGAATACTAATAGTAGAACTATGATAATAACAATTGCAATAACAGCAATAAAAATAGTCAGTAGTAGTAGTAGTAGTAGTAGTCGTAGTCGTCATAATGATGGAATGCATAAAACTTAGTCTCAGTCCCTTTGGCCGGTCCAGACTGCCGAGGATGACCAAGGAGGTCTGCATGAAGTCGTCCGTCATCCCTAACTGCAACTCCACGATGTCCTTCCTGGGCGCAGAGAAGCCTACTGCCAGAAGATCTGCCCAAAGGCATTCTTGCATCTCTCTGGCTGAATCCCTGAAACATATCTGAACTGTATCTGAAATGCCTGAATATGGCCAGCATGTGGGACGTTAAGAATCCCCGGTCAGGCAAATCACGGATCAAGATTGGGGCCTTCTTGCAGCATTCTAGGCAAACAGAAGCAGAGAGCAGAAGTTGAGGACTTGGCCTGAAGGCTCGCTGCCAGTAGTAGAGACCAGCGGAGGGGCTGATGACCATCTTGGTCACAGAAAGCAGCTATCAAGCAACCAAGCCTGACCCTAAGCCTTAAACCCTGCGCTTTGAGTTCATGCCATTTGCGGCCAAACAAGACGCATCCATCCTAAGGAGGGGACGGGAGTGAACCACCAGTCCGGCCCTACCCCAAAGGGGCCATCCGGGAAGATCTGCCTCAGGCCAAATTAGTCTACACTCCCAGTATCCCAATTAGTAAGCCGTATAATGGTCCCCTATATATGTTCCCCCATATAACCCCCCTTTTAAGGAGTGTAGACTATGGACCAAATGGCCAATCAAGTCTGCTACACAATATCCAGATTGACCTCCTCCTCCTCCCTTGAGGTTCTGGCACTAGCAGCAGCGCCACCGCGAAGATGGCACCTCTTGTGCAGCTACAGCCAGCTATCCATAGAGCTTTCCAGACAAAAATTCTGTACTTTGCATGATTCACGTGATGGCCAAGCTAAAGGTCCCGACCGCCAAGGCAGAAGGTGAGAAACAAAGCCTGGAAAGCAAATCGCTATGCCTGAATGATGGAAAAGACACCAGGCATCATTAGCTTCTTGATCGGGCGATATCGGGTGTATGCTTAGAGGTGGCTTCAAGGCTTCCTGCTGTCCTCACTAGTACTACTTGCTGTATGGCTGCTACTGGAGCCGGCCTGGCTGATGCTGCCTTGGAGCTGGCCTGCAAGAACATGGAAACTCAAAAAGCTTCGTTTCGGAAGCCACCAAGCTCTTGCATGGGGCCTTACAGGAGTTTGAAAGCACAGGAGCATGCTACAAGGGCAATTCATGGGCTACCGAATCTGGATGCACTCGCCTACAAAGCGGATGCGCCCCTGCTGCGGCGACTCCTGCATTGCTAGGCTTTTTGCAGTGAAAACCGCGTCCAACAGTGCTTCATCAGGCCATCCCCTCGCGCCTCCATCATGTAGTTGAGTCCTGCAAGTGTGGTTTCTGACACAAGTACACAGATGCCCAACCCTAAGTTTCAAGCGGATACTCCAACGCAGATACAGTGGTGGCAGCAGCGCATCCTGTGAAGTAGGCAACGATGCCGCCAGCCTCAGGGCATCTCAGGGCACAAGGCTGCTCTACAGCGAATGCGGCCGACAGTGCCTACGCTGAGTATGATCGGCCAGGGAGCGATAGAACGCATCTCCAGCCCACCAGCAGCAGTGCCTGGCATCACCTGGAGTAAGAAAATGCGCAGAAGGCGGGGACAACCCTCCCAATCTACACGCTCACAGCAATCTGAAGAGACTGATCAAGTGCGTGGCATACGTCTTCTCAACAAACTTTGCCTGGCCGGACCTGACCACAGCATGACGGCCGCAAGCTAATCTCGTCTTCTCCGGTGATGATTGGAATTTCTTAAGACGCGCTCGATCGTGCTATGCCGGCCCCCTCTGCGGATGCTCCAGATCTCAGCTGCTTTGCCTCTGGATGGTTCCGAGCACACCAGGGATGGCCACAACCTGGCCCCCATCGTGCAAGCTGTCGATTTATGTCTGTGAGTTTTTCTCGCAATTAAGAAGTTGAGGGCCAAGCAAAGAGCGCAAATGCTGTTCCTAGTGATAGCTGCGAAGGCTCCAGCCTGTTCGGGTATGTTCCGTGACCGGAGGATCGCACATGCCCTCGAAAGTGACCGCTACATGTGAAAACTGGCTCACAAGCTCCCGCACCCGGGAACACCGCTCGGCGGCGGAGCCAGATAGCCGGGAACCTCCGCCACTGCCTGGCAAGGTTGGGGCAAACCAGCTGCAAGAGGATATCGATAGCAGGTGCTACTTTTCACCAGACACCCGACTGCAGATGATGGCTGCAAAATCTTGATGGCCCAGACAATCTGAGGCGTGGGCTCTCGCAACCAACGGTCTTCGAGTCTCAGTGTATGGGCCTTGAAGCACCATGGCCGTATAGAACCAAACGTCACTGGCAAATGCCACAAGGGCACAATTCTCAGCGGTCAGAGCATGCAGTGCTTCTCACACGTTATCAAAATACTACAGGGGCTTCCAACAAGAGAATCCAGATGGCTAAGTAGAGAATTGCAACAAACCGGACTTGCTAAACTAAGGTGTCCGCCAACACGGCCGGGGACGAAAGCCCTGGTCGCCTGTGTGCCAAGCAGGCCGTCGGGCTAACACGGGAAACTTCTTTTGGTTATCTGAGTCCTGGACCTGGCATGCAAAGGCAGCACAGGCTGTCGCAAGCCTCCGCCAGGCCCACTGGCAAAGAGCCAGCATCAAGACTCCAAGAAAGAGACACAGAGGAAAGCTTCCAGACCCGGCCCTGCAGCACGAAGTGCAGCGCCGCCGGAGCGCCCTTTGCAAATTCCAAAACCCTACTACTGGCTGATGTTCAAGTCAATGGCGTAGAAGAGCACTGGCCAGCTACGCGGGATTTTAACACACTTGGATTGCAAGCATCTTCGAATACCTTCGATGCTCAAAAGATCCAAGTCATGCAGCATGCGTAGGAGACACTCAGGAGCTGTGGCAGGCCTGCCTTTTTTCCAACCGAGACCGTGAAGCAATGAAACAACGAAACGTGAAAGAGAACAAACAAGAGGCAACTTTGGCCCCCAGACCTGACCCCAAAGGTTCTTCGAAAGCTCACTGCAGCTCAACCGCCACAGCCGCATCTTCAACATCTCTCCTTGCAGGCTTCAGGGAACAGAAATCGGTGGAAGGCAGGTCACATGAGTTGAGGCCTATCTGCAGTAGCAAACGCATGACATGTACATTGACTTTCCCTGTGCAATGGAAGCGTCCTTGCCACTGACTTGGGAACAAAGGCGTGGAAGTACATACAAGAACCTCAGGATGCGCACGTACGAGCTGTAAATGGAAGCCATGTCCACTTAGAAATGTGCTCAAGCAAACATGTCAAAAAAGACCAGGTATTGCGAAGTAAGTCCCTGTACGTGTACAATACTATTCTAGGTTGCTGTTAAGGAACTTAAATGAAGCCACCATAATATGGAAACCCTGTCATTTACTATACACCCATATTATGGAAACTCAATTTAAGTTCATTAGCAGCAACCCAGTTCCTCCTGTTCGCTGCTCTAAACCCAGAAGACAGAGCATGCAAATAAGAGAATTCCGAGAGGGCAGCCTGAGACAAGGTGCAAAAGTATTTATAGTCTAAACTCCTTAAAGTGGTGATAATATGGGGGACTACTGTAGGGGTTAGCAAGTGGGATTCTCACGAATTTGGGCCTCTTTTGATTATAGATTATATTGCGGCACCTAATATTTAAGGGCACCAAAATGGGACCCTAATTTTGGAAACTACCCATTTACAGTCATTACACACACCTCCTCTCTTACAAACCAAGCCCGTTTTTTTTGCGTTTTTTACTCTCACGCGCCCGCATTGATTTCCCTGGAATAAACCAACCAAACACTCACGAGGCATGGTAGGTACTACCTGCCTCCAATCGAAGCACCTCTGGCAATCATTCTGAACTGGGGCAAGATGCGGATGTAAAGCAGCACGGTGCATACCGCAGCAATGCAAAGACCCACCGTCCTGATGCGCAGCGACGAGTTGGTATGTGTAGAACTTGCGTGGAGTCAAAGCCATAACTCGAAGAGCTGACAGCAAATTGGAAAAAGGAAGCCTAGCGCGAGATCATCCGTTAAGGAGCAGTAAGAGAAAATTCATACGAGCTGTAGTTAAACGACCAAGGGACCAAGTAAGACGAGGCAGAAGCAACCAAAGGAGAATCCGATGCTTCTCTGGAGTACTACGCACTAGGACCAGGCCCGGCTGCAGGGACCTTGAAAGCTCTCAACCTAGCATGGCTGCAAAGCAAGCGGTGTCCCCATCTCCACCACTGCCGCGTCAACGCCAACAGCAGCCATGCCCAGGAAATGCTCAGTGTTTTCAACAACGTCGGCCTCTGCTGACTCGTCAGCCGGATATACCAAGTAAACCGCTTGAATACTACAGTCCCCATGTTTTGGACCTACCAAGGAGGATGTTTTTACACATATATATATATATGTATATTATATATATGTATGTACATAACATACACACATTGAAGGAAGATCATAAAGGGTCCCCATCTGGGATTGCAAGATGATCATGGGCCACTCTGACCATTGGGGGGGTGTTCATAGTTCCACAGTGTTTGGCTCTTTCCTCTTTAAGGATGCTTGATCGCCAGGACGAACGCGAAGCCTCTCGGGTGCAAGTCTTGAGTTGAATATTTTTGTGCTTGAGCTAGGTAAGATCAAAATTCTTAGAGAGACCCAAAAAGAGGATAGTTCCTCTTTTTTAATATTTTGGGGACTATACTATCCCCATAGACCATACTGCTCGCTTGCACTAGAGCTTGCGTTCAAAAACACTGATATGCAAACTAGATATTAAGTCACCAACAGCAATCACGAACCCAGCTGCAAAGTTCGCGCTGACAAAGGAGGTTGTGAAGCCATCGACATTGTCTAGGAAGGCAGCCAGGAAAACCTTCCGACTGACCCGTACCACCGTCTGGGGTCCATGCGAAGTAGGCAATAGCATCTTGCCAGCCAACATGTCACCAGACAGTCTGGAAGGATATTCTATGCAGAGAAGGCACGAGGGCGAAGACGTCGATAGCATTCAGACCTACAAACTGCATCGAGCACATCGGCAGAGTAATTTGCTCCACACAGCAGTGCCATTCCACCATGAAGGCTCCTCTTTACTCATTCAAGAATTCATGAACAGAAAGCATCTTGCCGGTACCTGCCTGAGGGAGCAGGGCACTCCCACAAGGCTTAGGGCCGGACTCATGAAGAGCTCCTCCAGAGGTCGCCAACCTGTGCTGTGAGGCAAACCGGAACGAAGGTAAAAGGTGAGCACAATCGAAACCCGAATGCCCAAGCATGGTTAAGCAATGCCAAAAGGGTCTGGAAAGGTTCAGGGCAGGTAGCGCTCGGAGACAAGCTCTGTCGCTCGAAGCCCCACCAGGACAGCCTTTCAGTAAGGATATGAAGAAATGCGCGTGCTCTTGGCCGAGAGAACTCCTACTTTGCAAGGTCGCCCACACATCATTTCCGCACTAGTGGCATGAGCATGCTCAAGGCCTGTCCAACAGGTGCGATGACTGTCTGGAGCATTAGGATCATCTTCCTCAGCTCAGTGTCAAAGCTGCGCAAGACGCCCTCCTGTTTCAGCACTCAGGCTTCGTGATCCAGCAAGGCAAGGGCTAGTGCTGATTGGGTACGCCACCCCTCTTGCCAAAGGCCTAAAGTTGACAAGACACAGACCTGGGCTGTAACCCCCCAGGTCCATTCCAGAGTAGGTATTTGGCGGCAGCACCTGACCAGGGCAAAATTGAGAGTACATGTTTGCAACGTGCCCAGAGGCAATCCTGGTCTAAGCATGTCTGAAATGCTACGGCATATCTACAAGCAAAGCAAGAAGTTCAAGGGTTTCAGGCTTGTACCTCTGGGATTCAGGATTCTCTTCAGGAACCCTCTAGGGGACTACATTCGTTCATACAAAGGCTATATCTGGGCCATGTTAGGGAATCTCCTTGGGGGTACGACCTTAGGGGTACAACCCAGCAACTCTTGAGAAGTCCCCTAATTACGTTCCTTTTGAGGCTCACCTGATCTCCTGACACAGAATCTCTCCCTCTTCAGAAGGACAGGCACCAAGCTTGCCAAGCCCTGGAAACCCACAGAGAGGTATGCGAAGAAGAGCCAAATGAAGGTGCCCGTGAGAATGCCGGAGCAAAGAGCCTAAGCTGCAACAAGCCTCCGGTATAAACCCCAGTTTGAGTGGGTTCTCCATTATTAGTTATTAGGGCACTATCCCATATAACCGCTTAGCTGGGGCTGCATGAAACATGTCCGATACAAATGGAACTGGCAGAACTGGGGGGATGCTGATGCCTCAAACTCACTACTCGTGTCTCCAACATCGACAGGGTGCCAAATCGGGGAGTGCCAGTTGCTTGGAGTCTGGACGATCCGTCCGAGCAGACCGCTGCGGTAGCGAAAGGACCATGGCCACGCCGGCCTATGTCAGGTTGGGGAGGCTCAGGTCATCAAGCCATGTGGAGTAAGTGCGGCATCCGCAGTCTTGCCATTTAAGTTACAGATCGACTTGCAGCCAAGTCCCGATTGCAAATCTTGATTCCTACAATGACCCCGTTTTAGTAGTCTACAAACTGCAGGCATGGGCAAACTCAAAACTGAAAAAAGTAGTCTCGCCACCCAACTTGCATCCCTTTACTTCGCAGCTTGCAGGGGAAGCCACACCAAGGCAGAGGAGCACCGCTGCAATCGCGACAAACGGTCCCAGAAGTGGCGGCATCCTCAAGCGCACTTGGAAGTCTGGCCACAGGGAAAGTGCAGCTCCCCTCTAACACACCCCAATACCAGAATCCTTGTTGTATGCAAAAAGGCAAGGCAAAGCAAGCAAGCTGGAGTGTGCCCATCGCGTCCCCCCTAAGAGCTAAGCAGTCAGTGACAGTCCTCATCTGGCTCACTGCATCCAAGGGTAAGGCCAAGTCCGCGTTCCTGAGGCACTCTTCCACAATCAATAATGCCCCCTCTTCTTGAAAATCATACGTCTACAAATCTGACAGTCTTGCATCAGAGTTGCATGGAAAGCCCAGCGTTACCCAAGGTCTGAGACTCCTGGGTCGAGAAAGCGGCAGTTGGAGGAGCTGCAGGATCAACTGCCATGCCAAAGCCAGAATCATGCATGCTGGAGAGTGTCCTGAAATGGCAGCCGTCCAACCCAAATTGCCACTCCTCACAATCACTCAGAAGCCCAGAAGTGCTCTCTGAAACTTGTCATCACTGCAGCGGGCTCCCATGGAATAGGCGGCACAGGGGAGGAAGACCGGGTTCCCCTCAAGAATTAGTCGTGATGCTGAAAAACTCCAGTTTTTGCCAAGACTCGGATCAGAATATGCTGCACACCAAAGCTCAGGCCATGCAGCCACGGCAGGGCCAGTAGGAAACAGGCGACCTCAAGATAGCATGGAGGGTTTCTCAAGGGGATCCTAAGTACCTCAGGGGAGATGTGGAGAGCATAAAAAGAGGATGTTGGGACGTACTTCTTATGGATGATGTAGGGATCATTTTGAAAATTCCAAGCCAAAGGCTGATCCAGGTGATCAAAGCATGGTACTACAGAAACTGAAGATGGGAGCTTCTCAATGTAGTCCCTTTCTTCGTCTTAGATTCAGGTTTTACAAGGAACCCTGCAGTCGAATATATGATCTAAGGTTCCCAGTCTTCGAGAGATCCCCCCGATGACTGAGGCGGCCGCTAGACCACTCACGAGCGACGTCACCACGAAGTTGACGAAGACAAAGCTGCCTCCTCGCAGGGGGAAGGAAGAATACGCAGGGTTTAGGGTGATTTCTGCCTCGAAGCAGCCCAATTTGAAGGCTCCTCCTTCTTTGAACTGAAGTGCCAGTCCTCGGAGGCAGGGTCTCACGATAGGCAATAGGGGACCAAATCTTACGCACGAACAAGCCCCCTGCAACATGGCTCGCCCAGGGAAAGGGGTAGCTTCAAACGACGGCGCACCACTGCAAGCTTGAAGCAAGGAGCCCCAGTATGTGAAGGTGGCGACGGTCTGGCTGTCAAGTTCCAAGTGGCTGGGCCTCGCTCCAACACATTTTGCTCTGCTCTTGGTTCTTACTGGCCACTCTTTGACAAGCTGCGTGTAGACCATCCGCAAAATCAGCGCCGCATACGGTAAGCTGCATGCCACCACCCGCAGGATCACGGAGAAGGCGAGCAGTAGGCAAACCGCCTCATGGAAGTGCTGAACTCCAAGCACGTCTACGATTGCTTCAAGCAAGCCAATGCCAGGCTCCAAGCAACGACGATCCAACGACTTTCACCTAAGTTTCATCAATTGCACACAACAACTCAGCGCAAAGCTAAGTGTCAGTGGGCCGCCTCGGCCAGCAAGCCAGCAATGCACTGACAGTGGCTTCGCATCTGAAGCCTTCTGCCGGCCAGCCTGCACGTGATGACGATATTAGATTGTGCGTAGAACATCATTAATGAGAACTGGCTCTTTGTGGCAGCAGCTATAGTTTGCTTCGACTGGCGGGGTGTTCTCCGCCAACATGCTCCATCTCAGAGAGCACAGCTGCACGAAGACCTCCGGAGACTCATTCCGGCCTGGCAAACCACTGCGCCGAGGCCCACCGCGGCAGCAGCAAGGCCGCCCAGCAAGCAGGCCAGCCAAACCACTTTGTTGAAGCCCTGATGGATCGTATAGGCAGGGCAAGTTCTAAGATGCTTTGACTGGCCGAGAATCATCTACACAACACACACAGACATTACGTGCGCCTTATCGTAGCTGATCCCAAGCGCATCTACGCCTTGGAGCACAAGTGCTGGTATTGGCTCAGAGACTATTCGTTTTCCATTGCAATGCTATCCGCAGAATCCGGTCACACACATACCCACACACCACATAGGCTTGCCATAGAATGTGATCTGGTCTGTCGCCAAGACTCACTTGGCAAAATACGCGAATCAGACGAAACAGAGTTAAACCAGAGGCAGAACCAGACGCAAAACATGGGAGGAGCACTTCCCAGCGTAACAAGATCCCTTCGCCCAAAGTAGAAACATCAGAATCTCAAGCTGGAGCCACTCAGTTCCTGCTGCCAGGCATCCCTTGGAATCGCTTTCCGCCACCTCCGGATTGTTTGAAGTAGAGGTATGCAGCAGGCTGAGAACAGTAGAGTTGCACGGGACTGTTGAGCTTGGCTTCCGGCCGTGAGTCGGCGCTCTGACTTCGCCTCACACTCCCTTGCCGCCTCCTGCGTTGAGTCTCGGCAAGAAAAAAGAAAAAGAAAGACCCAAAATGCCAAAGCCCCTAGAAACTGCATGTGGTCCTGCTGGAGAAAATCAAGTGCTTTTGTCAAGTTCTCTGCGGTCATGACGGTCTGAAGCAGCCTAATGTCAACCACTGCCGCAGACATGACAGTGGCATGGGGTACATGCCAGACCTAAGACTAGCCAGCTCGCCAGGGCACCCGTGCACTGCAGTGGCAAGCTGCGGGTAGAGGGCCCAAAACTCCTGAACAGAAGCCAGCTGGGAGGCCTTGCCCAAAAAGAGGCGCACCTCCAAACACACCATGGAAAGCATCTCTCCTTGATTGGTTGGCGCGGGGGCTTTGAACCCAACTTCACCCGCAGCTCACCTAAGTCCAGATGATGCGCGTGCTTTAAAATTACCTATTCAGCTCGTTGAGCACAAGGCCAGCGGATTGGAAGTCCGGCTTCAGCTCCTCCACCTTCAGCTTGCTGAAAGGTGTTAACCTCAGCACATTGCCAAGCCAGATGAGGATGGGGTTCTGGGGTTCACGCAGCTGACTGACGCCTCATGGCGGCTGAGCCGCATTGTGCAGAACAGAGTCGGAGGCACCAGTATGTTGGAAGTCTTCAACCTTGGCCAGCAAGCTGCGCCCACAGATGGGGCATTGCTCAGCATTTGCTGGACAGTGCTGAATCAACTTCGCAAAGCCAAATCAAATTCTCGGGCCGCAACGTGTCCACACTGGCATTCAGGATCATCTCGAAAACACCGCAGGGGGCCTCCACCTTCAGGGAAGTTTGGGCACCCCCACACAGATGAGCTTTGTTCTGCGTGTCTGGGCCTCGACGACCGCGTCACCCTGCGGCTTCTCAGCTGAGAGGGTCCTTTGCAGAAAGCAAAGTCACCAACAATGCAGCCCCAGAATCTGGAGTTGTCAAACAGTACGCCGTGTTTGGGGAAGTGGAGCCAAGCGACATGACCAAGGTGGCATTGTAGGGCTTCTGCGCGTCAATGCATGGATTGGTCAAATAGAATCCTGCACGCATGAGAGGACAGGAGGCAGTAGGAAGCCCTTTAGCTGTACACGGATGAGGGCTCCCAAGGCACATGTGCCTGACAAGAAGTAAGGAATCTCAGGACAGATTCTAGGAAATCCCGCCGATTGAGAATGGTCAGGCGGTCCTATGGTCTCTCTCGCCTGCGGATTTGGCACCATGAAGCGAGCATCTGAGATCCTTTCAGGAGTTTGGTTGGCAAACTTTCGCTTCAAACATGTTCTTTAAGAGAAGGTGATGCAAGGCCACGTTTAGAAGCATTTGTCGGCAAGTCATCGTGACGAGTCAGAAACTTGAAGTCCAAGATGCCTCTGCGGTCTGGACTGGCGTGCTGAAAGCCACCTGAAACCCTGATTTGGTTTTGAGCCGAGGTGCTTGTTGGATCCGGTCAGAACCAGGTCCTGATCAACAAAGTGAGACATGGAAGAGAAAGAACGGCTCGCGAGAACTACGATGCTGCATATGCTGCAAGATGTAACGCTTAAAGAGTTGGCTTTTCTGGCCTTCACATGGACCGCTGTGAAAGGCCCAGCGCTGATTGGTGGCATGTCCAACACAAACTTGGGAGCAAAAGTCCTGAGCAGATGACATGCTGGAGCTCTTCTGAAAAGCCTCCACGGTAACATGAAGACACGTCACGACCGATCAAGTCTTCTGCTCTGATCCGTTTTTTCAACTTACCAAATTTCTAGCCTTTGAGTCGGAAAGCCCATTCGAGTGTGATGCGGCATCTGTGCAGCCAAGTCTCGTGTTGGCCTGCAGCAAGCCAGTGACGATGTGGTCCATGTATTCTTTGATCTGTCCCGACAGCAGCTTTGGCCAATCGGAAAACTCTTCTCCATAAAGTCCTCAAGGCTGCTGCACGCTGAGCTGTGAAACAACAAGTCAAGATTGCCTTACGGGGCAGTCACGGCTTCTATCGCTCCCAACCACGGAGTCTTCAAGCGCAGCCAAACCCCATACGACTGCCAGCAGCACTGCTGTCAAGCGTCCCTTTGACTTGTGATTTGCCTCATTCAGAGCAATACACGTTGTTGGCGAAGCAACGTGCGCGAGCACTGTATTCACGGCCTGCCAGATTTCACCAACAAATTATTTGACGCCTCACGCAACTCTCTTCGGGCAGACATCACACAGAGCCCCCAACCTTGAGGCCCTCTTCGCTGGCTCCCAGGCCTTGACCCCACAAACTGCTTGGGTTGAGAGGCCTTCTGCGCCCAAAGCCGCTTGACGGCAAGCGTTACATCGCGAACGCAAGACGACCCCTTGAAGTGTCCAGCAATGCCAAGCTGCGCTCCAAAGCGCCGGGTAGGTGAGCCTGCCATCAGTAACTCCTTAAAAAGAGGGGGTTTATGAAACATGGGTCCACATTACCCCAATATTATGCCCTATACCTATGGTAGTTTCCAGTCTATTTTCCATTATCCCTAAAACATTACTCCCTAATGTATACCCTAGTATAAGAATTTCCATGTTCTTTTACGTTACTCTTATATGACCCTGATATATTATCTCTATAATATAGGAAACCCTATGTAAGCCCTATGTGACCCCTATATTACCCCCTCATTCTCGTAATCTGAATCTCAAGGCTGAAATCTACTACATGTACTGCAGCAGCACTAGTAGCAGTAGCAGCACAGGATTCTAACTTGCTTTCTTCGCTGCCTCAATTTCAAAATCGCTTGCATAGATCCACCAATCAAGCGAAATATAACTTCTGGTACAGTTCCCTACGGAAGCCAGCCTGCATGCACTGTGGATCTCTAGGACCTTTATAATGGAAGGTCCCAGGGTAGCCAGAGTTCAGCTTTTCGACGGGCTCTAATGGTGTGATGTGCCTTGAACGTTGGGCCGTTCATGGCCATTTTCAGGCGGAACGGATTGCAGCTCCACAGAATACTGGTCGATGAGCCATTCTTCTCAGAACATGCCCGCCTCGTAGAGCTTGTTGAAAAGCGTAACGAGCTCGTTGAACAGATTTGACAGATCCTCTTCCAGTATCCCCGTTGTCAAAGCGGTCCATGACCTAATGACGTCATCGAGTCATAGTGAATCGAGAAGCCTATGACATCATTGTGACTTTAGCCAGAGAATCTGTGCTGGGAGTACCCTCCTACCCGCCCAGCCCTCGATGTGGCCGCATTGCTGGCCAGCACTCAAAAAATGCAGTCCGGGCACAATGGATTTGCCAAGCCTTCGAAAGTCAGATTCTGTCGTTCCACCGTAGGCGCCTCCGCAATTCCGGAATGTACGGATTGCCCCAGGCAAACACAGCAAAGACAGCACATTTCATCCCAGAAGTTGCTTCGGAGCATTCCTTTCGTCTAGAGTCCACTAAATCCGCACAGGCCTCGACGAAGAGACTCCTGGAGCAATTGACGGGATCCTCGGTCAATGTAAACCTTCAAGTGAGCAAACGCACTTCCCGAGACAGGAGGCCTGGAGATTTGGATTCGGCGCTTGTTCAGCAACATTATCTTAGTGCATGCTCAGCGGCCCAGAACCATTGGCTGGCCGTGTACAACGGCTTCGTGGGATCCACTTTGCATGGCAGCCGCACCTGCGCCGGCAGACTGCCCTGCATCGTGTTGATTTCCGATAGCAACCGTTCAGGCTGCAAGCTAGCGCAGCTGCCACAATGTCTCTTCTCAAAAGGCTGTGCCCCAAGAAACCGACCTGGGTTCCTCAGCAGAAGCTGGCACTTTATTAGCTGCCATGCAACTAAGTGGGAACATTAAGCCGCGCCTGCACTCGTGAGCGCGGGCGGAGTAGAGCGACATGCAAACCTCATGTCGCAGCTGTGATTTTTATGCATGATGCCTCCCCTTCGGTCAC